TTACATTGATCATTATCTGTTTATTGCTTAATTCAATACACAAATTAGAGGATTCAATGTTTATTACAATCATGTCAACAGTTTGATTTCCAGGAGTCCCACCCTTCAAGCACAGAAAGGGGGAAGGGTTAGGGACCATGAAATTCAAAATTCATGTTTCACTTTACCCATAGATGCTATATGCCAAAACTGGTTAAAATTGGATCAGCAGTTCAAGCAAAAGTCTAACAGTTTTTCGGACCCTCTCGTCTGCACCTTTGGTAAACGCTCCAAACTCCATAACATATAACTGGATTTGAATAAATTGAATCTACACTACCTGAGGATGCTTCCATATAAATATGACCAATCATAGCTTTGCTGTTCTTGAGAAGAAGATTTTTAGCTCTACTGGTCAGAGACCAGAAGAGCTTATGCGATAGTAAGGTGTCCGTTGTCCGTCCGTCTGTCTGTCTGTCTGTCCATCTGTCTGTAAACAATTTTTCAAAACGCTACTCCTCCTACAGTTTTGGTCCAATTTCAATATAACTTGGCACACAAGTAGACTACACTAAGATACATAATTTAGTGCATCGGTTTTTGATTTCGATGGACGGTGTTGCCATGGTTACTAAAAATAGAAATTTCTGTGAAATTCCTTTAAAACGCTACTCCTCCTACAGTTTTGGTCCGATTTCAATATAACTTGGCACACAAGTAGACTACACTAAGATACATAATTTAGTGCATCGATTTTTGATTTCGATGGACAGTGTTGCCATGGTTACTAAAAATAGAAATTTCTGTGAAATTCCTTTAAAACACTTCTCCTGCTACAGTTTTAGTCTGCTTCTAATATAATTAGGCATACAAGAAGACTATACTAAGATACATAATTTATTGCATTGGTTTTTGAATTCGATGAACAGTGTTGCCATGGTTACTTAAAATAGAAATTTCTGTGAAATTCCTTTAAAACGTTACTCCTCCTACAATTTTGGTCTGATTTCAATCTTATTTGGCACACAGTTAGAATACACTACGATACATAATATGTATTTCTGTTTTTTTTATTTGGGTGAGTGGTGTTGTCATGGTTACCGGTACTAAAAATAGAAATTTCCGTGAAATACTTTCAAAACGCTACTACTCCTAGTTTTCATTTGATTTCAATATAACTTGTCACAAAAGTAGACTATATTTAGATACATAATTCTATTTATTGTTGCATGTTGCAATGTTTCAAATCCAAGTGCTACTTTTCTTTTGTTATACAAACAGACCAGTAGAGCTACAGTCTCATCAGAGACTTCTGGTTCCTATATATTCCTATGTAAGACTTTTATCGTCTATTATTGTGATCCAATCCTACCCCCAGGGGTCATGATTTGATCAAATTTGAATCTACACAACCTGAGGATACTTCCATTTGAATATGACCAATCAAGGCTTTGCTGTTCTCGAGAAGATTTTTAAAATTTTTCCTATATATTTCTATGTAAAATTTTGATTGTCCATTGTGGTCCCGCCCTACCCCGGGATATCTTGATTTGAAAAAAAACTTGAATCTATTCTACCTGAGGATATTTTCATATTTTAGTTTCATTTTTGCTGGCCCAGTTGTGGTTCTTGAGAAGATTTTTAAGAGATGCCATTAATTTTTAAATTATCTCCCCTTGGAAGAGGGCGTGGTACTTCATTAGAACAAATTTGAATCCCTTTCACCCAAGGATACCTTTTAGTAAGTTTGGTTGAAATTGGCCCAGTTGTTCTTGAGAAGAAATCAAAAATGTGAAAAGTTTACAGATAGACGGACAGCTGGATGGACAGGTGCACACTGGACAATATGTGATCAGAAAAGTTCAGTTGAGCCTTTGGCTCAGGTGAGCTAATAAACAGTTAATTAACAAATGCATTTAAACTATGATTAGATTTTTTAAAAGTTGAATTAAGTGGCATTTAAGTGTCATTTTGTAGGTACCTTGGCCTATCCTAGTGGTACAGGGGACATGACATTGTACAGGGGACATGACATTAGGGTTCTTATTGGGTATTTACTTATGGTTTGTGTATTGAAATACACAATAAACCAATAACTTTTTATACATCATAAAAATACAATCTCTGCCTCTGAACTATGCATGCATAATTTAGCTGAAATTAGTGAATTTAATTTAGATTTTTACCTTGGTTTAATAGCGCTATACTGTACCTATTTAAGACAATTAAAGTGTTAATTTGCCCTTCAAAACTTTTTTTTGTAGTTTACAAGTGCATATAAACCATATTTAGAATAATTAAGGTTGTATATGGTGACCTAGGGGTTCCCTGTGGTATCCTTGTGGTTCCTTGTGGTATCCTTGTGGTTCCTTGTGGTAAAAAGACGTACCCCATAATATATGCATTTTTACTGCAATACAGACTACAAAGCAGATAGTGCAGATCCGTTCATCCCTTTGGAGTAATGAGTGGACATGCATCCAGTTAAAGATTATAATTAATTAATGAGTTCAATGTAGGAAGGCTTAAACTGTCTCAATCATTTCTGTTAGAGCATCTCTGATCAAGCCGTTCTTATCTGCATCCTTTGGGAATTAGACAGAAGATCTACTAGTCAGTTTATAGCATATGTCATTTGATGGCCAGCCTTTTATTTTCAAAATTAATTTTATATAGATTAAATTGTTAAGACTAATTTGATCATGTTTAGTATGATATTTTTTATTTAATTTTTTGAAAATATCAAACAAATATGAAGATGAGGGGGGGGAGGGGGGGTGCAGATGGGCATTTGTCAAGCTCTGACACAACCAGCTGAGAAATCTATGATGTAATATTTGTTATAATTAATGCCTACACTACAAGAGATGTGTATAAACAGCAAATATTATAAGGAATGGAAAAATCATGGAAATCTTTGAATCAAGGTTGACATGATTTTCTTGCACTCTAAACTGTTTATGAGAATTGAACAATATTTGACGGGCGTATCATGCTGTGGCGGGACACTTTATTATTTATATATTAAAACAGGATTTTCAGTCCATTGTCCATTATATAGCTCTCCAATATATTAAATAAAAGATATTCTATATAAAACTAAAGTGTAACAATGCAGTTTTCCACAAATGTATCTTGACGTACAAAAGTCTTCCCCGAACATGTTTCTGTGCGTATTTTTTTCATATTATTTCATTTTCGGCGTCCAAAACTCACTATTGCTTTTGATTTTCGACTCAAAAAAATAAATCTGAGTTTTATTGCCATGTATAATCTTATTTATTTTCCATGATTTAAAATTTTCGAACATATCGAGTTATGGTGCGTTTAGAACTACACCGGCACCATTTTGGTTTTTACGAGAAAATATGGGACACCCTTAGCTTAACCTCTCTTGAGCTTTAATCATTCACGCAAAATTGGTTAAAACACCTGACAAATTAATGCCAGCATATTCTGTAACACCGTCCCTTATTCTCCTGTGATTGTAAACTTTGTGATTTTCTCACAGCAGGGTCTTTTTTAGCCAATATTTTGCGCGATATTCGATTATAACATGCTATGTTTGACACACTCTTAAACCACCTCAGAACTATAGGAGCTTCTGAATACAACTCCATTTGATAGACTGTATTCTATGTAAACATTCTTCTAACTGGCAGTTGTGTCCATTAACGTGCATCCGAGTAACAAACAAAAGTTGACTTTAAAATTTTACTTCAATGAAATTGTGTCTCTTGTTACGTCATTTTATGGACAGTATGCTAGACATTTGAGATTCTGGCGTCATTTTCTGAGTTATTACGTAATAAAAATTACAAAGAGACATCACAATATGTGTATATTTTTGTGATCTGTCCAATGATATCAAACTCAGTAATTTCCGTTAAACGGTTAATATTTTATCAGACAGTTCTCAGAACTTTTCAAATGCCCCTTGTATGTGTACTTAAAAAAGCGGGCTTCATATTTTAGTGGCTTTTGCGCAGACAACGATGCGCATATTTGTAAATACCGCTAAGAAATTATTTATATATACAGTACATGGAACAGACGTGTAGCGCTAATTCATGATTACTCCAACAACTCTATACCAGTGATTGCGCTAAATTTTGAATATGCCAATTTATGTACACGTATAGTATTTCCATACCAGCACCCAGCAGCTTTGCAATCTAGTTTGTGGAGTTTTGTGATATAAATGAATAGAAGCATATTAAACAAAAGTTTAAAAAGTTTCATATTTGGGATATTTTCTAGAGAAAGATATTGATGGCAAACTACAACTCAACTTTAAACGTGTTGAGTTCAACTTTTCTATCCTCAATTTTCCTTATTTATGTAGCAATATACAGTAAAACTCGTTTAGTACGAACACGGATATTGCGAATTCACATATATAGCGAAGTTTTCTTGGATCCCCAGCTAAATAAATTCTACAAATTCCTTATATGGATATAAAGAATTATGGATACAACGAAGTAATTTCACAGGTCCCAGTGACTTCATTATAACCGAGTTTTACTGTACTATTATCAACTGCATATAGTTTATGCCTCTCAGCTGCTTCCATATGCAAGAGTATGTTCAACGTACAAACAATTCCTAAAACAAGGCAGGCTTGACAAATAAGACAATGATAAAGGATATCAACAATTTTGTTTAAACTCAACATTTTGCAAATTCTGTGGTCGATACAATGACCTTGTTTGCAAATACAATTTATCGTGAAGTCGAATGCTGTCTGATGTCTTTCAAATTGATAAGCCATTATTTTCACACTGAATTGAATTGAACATTTGAGTTTTCAATTTACCAAAAAGCAAAAAGCACACAGCAGGTGTGACCGGTTGACAGGGGGTGCTTGCTCCTCCATGGCACCTGATCCCACCTCTGTTTTCAGAGGCGTGTTAAGTCTGCTCATAAATGAATAAATAAAATGTTTGAATGAGAATGATCACTGTTCAACATCTTCACATTTCATTACAGAAGTCACATGTTATTATGGGTTGTTTTTGCAGTGTATCAACAGTGTGACCTGCTGAATAACAATGGCTGTAAAGAGGGTGAGGAGTGTAGATTTATCTCAGAGGATGGGGTCACACAATGTGTCTGTAAGACAGGATATATCCAGAATCAGCTGGGGACCTGTGTTGGTATGTCAGCATTGTCTAGCATAAAGCACAATGAACTTAACTTGTGGTCTAAAAAGGGTAGAAGTTGAATTAAGTACTTGTTCATATGTGTGGGATTTCAAAATTTTTTAACAAACGGATAGCATTTTATTAGGTCACCTGAGTCACTCAGGTGACCTATTGCTATCTGTTTTTGTCCGTCGTCGTGCGTCGTCCGTCGTGCGTTAACTTTTGAACATTTTTAACTTCTTCTCTAGAACCGCTCAACCAATTTAAACCAAATTTGGTATATAGCATCTATGGGTGAAGGGGAACAAAAATTGTGAATTTCATGGTCCCTGCCCCCCCGGGGCCTGAGGGGTGGGGCTAAAACCACCAAAAATAATGCAATCTTTAAAAATCTTCTTCTTTACTCCCGGACATGAAGCAGTCAAACTGTTGGCATCATTGTAATAAGCATTGAGCCTTCTACCAAAATTGTGAAATTCATGGCCCCAGGGTCAGGGGTTCTGGCCCCAGGGTGGGGCTATATAGATCATATAGTGAAAGTGCATAAATTCTTTGAAAATCTTCTTCTCTGCTCCTGGGTATTAAATAAAGTTACTAAGTACATAGTTATGATGAGCAAGAGTGCCTCTTCCAAAATTGTGAAATTCATGGTCCCAGGGTCAGGGGTTCTGGTGTTAGGGCGGGGCTGTATTGATTATATAGTGAAAATGCATTAATTCTTTGAAAATCTTCTTCTCTGCTCCTGGGTATTAAATAAAGTTACTAAGTACATAGTTATGATGAGCAAGAGTGCCTCTTCCAAAATTGTGAAATTCATGGCCCCAGGGTCAGGGGTTCTGGCCCCAGGGTGGGGCTATATAGATCATATAGTGAAAGTGCATAAATTCTTTGAAAATCTTCTTCTCTGCTCCTGGGTATTAAATAAAGTTACTAAGTACATAGTTATGATGAGCAAGAGTGCCTCTTCCAAAATTGTGAAATTCATGGCCCCAGGGTCAGGGGTTCTGGTGTTAGGGCGGGGCTGTATTGATTATATAGTGAAAATGCATTAATTCTTTGAAAATCTTCTTCTCTGCTCCTGGGTATTAAATAAAGGAACTAAGTACATAGGTATGATGAGCAAGAGTGCCTCTTCCAAAATTGTGAAATTCATGGCCCCAGGGTCAGGGGTTCTGGTGTTAGAGCGGGGCTGTATTGATTATATAGTGAAAATGCATTAATTCTTTGAAAATCTTCTTCTCTGCTCCTGGGTATTAAATAAAGGAACTAAGTACATAGTTATGATGAGCAAGAGTGCCTCTTCCTAAATTGTGAAATTCATGGCCCCAGGGTCAGGGGTTCTGGTGTTAGGGCGGGGCTCTATAAATTATATAGTGAAAAAGCATTAATTCTTTGAAAATCTTCTTCTTTGCTCCTGGGTATTTAATAAAGTAACTAAGTACATAGTTATGATGAGCAAGAGTGCCTCTTCCAAAATTGTGAAAGCCATGGCCCCTGGGTCAGGGGTTCTGGTGTTAGGGCAGGGCTCTATTGATTATATAGTGAAAATGCTTTAATTTTTTGAAAATCTTCTTCTCTGCTCCTGGGTATTATTTAAACAAACTAAGTGCATGGTTATGATGCATAAGGATGCCTTTTCAAAAATTGTGAATTTCATGGCCCCAGGGTCAGGGGTTCTGGTGTTAGGGTGGGGCTGTATTGATTATATAGTGAAAATGCATTGATTCTTTGAAAATCTTCTTCTCTGCTACTGGAGACTATTTAAATGCATAGGGATGCCTTTTCAAAAATTGTGAATTTCATGGCCCCAGGGTCAGGGGTTCTGGTGTTAGGGCGGGGCTCTATTGATTATATAGTGAAAATGCATTGATTCTTTGAAAAACTTCTTCTCTGCTACTGGAGATTATTTAAACAAACTAAGTGCATGATTATGATAGACAAGGATGCCTCTTCCAAAATTTTTAAATATATGGCCTCAGTTTTTGGGGTTCTTGAGGAGGGGTGGGGGTGGGGGGGGGGGGGTGGGCTAGGGCAACAATGCTTCATCTATCAGTGTATTTAACGTCTAAATTGTTGTATTATACTCAGGTGACCGTTAAGGCCCTTGGGCCTCTTGTTTGCATTTGAGATATTTTATTATCTTGATCTATGGTACCGTATATTTTTACTCTAGTCATGGGAAAATTGCTTTAAAAATAAAAGTTGTATTTTGTGTAAAGAATACAGGTATAATTCTGTAATCAATGATATTTTCTGTAGCCCTGCTGTCTTCCCCCATAGACTCCTCACATACAGAGGATGAGGTGGAGTGTGAGTTTCCTCTAGACAACACCTGTCCTCATCAGAACGAGGAGTGTTACCTACCTCTCCACACACACAGTCGGGTGGGCACCTGTCGGTGTAAGGAGGGTTACATCAGGGATAGCAGCAAAGCATGTGTGACCATTGAAACTAAAGGTGCGTCATGTAGAGAATTATATATACAGTAAAACATGGCTATAGCAGACAAGATATTGCTTTGTTATATCCATAATATACAAGTATATCCCTTTCAAGAGGTTGATCCATAGATATATTGACTTCACAGAAAAGATGGATCCTTTACAGTGTAGTATTATACTCAGGTGACCATTAAGGCCCTTAATTGGGCCTCTTGTTATGGTTAAATATCATGGATGCATAATCATGATAATGGAATAGATTTATTAGCATTTGTAATTTTATCCATTATACATTGAGTCATAAAACACAAGATGATGTGTATTTTAATTCATTCGATATATAATGATAAAATCAGAATTTCTTCAAACTGAAAGATTCTACAGACAAAAAAGTCATGAAACAGAGTCTGTGTGCTATACTTGGTGAGCAAGTAAATTTATTACTTATGTGCTATGTTTAACTATTTAATTATTGAAACACTTATCTGTTAAGTTTTGATACAAATGCTTTAATTTTATTGTCTTTCCTTATTATTTATCATTTAAAGCTGGTATCTTATATTAGTACATTATCACAAATAGAGGTTTATTAAGTCATTGCTGAAGACAGTTCTGTATAAATTGCAGACAAGATGCATTAAGAGTTCCCCATGGGTTATTAATGATTTATTTTTTTAGCTAATCAGATTATGTCCAGTAGGAATATTGATATTATGTGTGAACTAGCAGCAGGACCTTGTTATGATCACAAAATAATTCATGAAGTTTCATATCAGATAGGGGTATATTTTTATATTGGTCCTGCCTTAACCATACAGACAGAAATTGTTTCATAGTTTTTTGTGAAGAAACTCTATATGAAGGGCTTGCAGACAGAAATATTGTTACTATATTTCTTAATTCCATAGATTATATTACTAGACTTTCAGCAGATAACTGGTAAAATAGGGAGTAGAGTTTTAAAATGCACAAAAATTGCATTTAAATATACAGTTTAAATAAAAATTTATACATTGAATAAATTAATTTGGATTTCACATTTACACTCTACAAACAAAACAGAAAGTTCCATAATGCACACATAAAATATTTATTGGGTTAATATTCCAAGTTATGGTAGTTTTATTGTTTGAATCTATAAATATTGATCTTCTAAACTTGAATTAAAAATTTTATTGAAAAATAAATAAAACATTTCCTTTGTTGACTATTACTCTTTACTAACTCTGGAGAGGAAACATTTTTATTGTTGAATATTACTCCTAACTAACTTGAGAGAGTCCAAAAAAAGAAAAAAAGATGAAAATGTAAAAAAGATACCCTATTAAAATTCTTCAGCCTGCAAATGATGAAACAGTTATACATAAATCAGTTGTTTTTGTTGCATAGTCTACTAAAACTGCCAAGGCACTATTTGGTACAACATTCATTTAAAAAAATAAGCTTAACTGCATTTTTTTTTTAGTGCAGGGTTAATTTCCCAAACCATCAAGATTGTTCGTAAAAAAAAAAAAGCTTCTCAATAACTTCCAAAGCCAGAGATACATGTTGTATAGTACTGTGCTGGGTCATTGTAAACATGACACAATGTTTGCCACCTTAATGTAGCAATGACAGAACTAGATTTAGTATTCTGTTACAGTTACAGACAGTCCTACTACACGGTCCACTACTGCTACTAAGACGGACATTGAGAAGTCGGTCAAAGTGTGTGAGTATGGGTTGAATTCTTGTGGGAAGCATCAAGAATGTTACCTCCCAAAGAACTCTATGAAGAGGTCTGGAATCTGTGTGTGTGTCCAGGGCTACTACATGGGAACCGATAACATCTGTGTTCTCAACACCAGTACCACAGTGGTAAGTTAAGAAATAATGGTGGCAGCAATTTACTGCTAGGAATGACATTTTACATGCACTCCACTGTATGGCTGTAGGTTGGTTTCATTGTAGAAAATCTGTTTTGAGACATTTCGGTCAGTGAAAGATTTCATATGCATTGCAGATTCAAATTCAGATAGTGCATTACTTGTCATTACTTATTAATAAAAACATAAAAATAGACTGTTCAAAATGTTAACTTGAGAAATGTAGGTCAAATGCACTGATCAAAACATAAATGATTTTTGTATCCCCATGTGCAGTATATTTGCCAGTTTGATCGTTGTTTTTTCTTATGATTATTTGGGAATTGACCCTGCTTAGAAAGTTCATTAATACAGAAAATATAAATCCCTTCTTGATATTATCATTTATAAAGTCTGAAAAGTTAATATTTTGATATTAAATGATGGGATACTTAATGAATTAAAGGCTTGATTATCATTTGAAATATGAAAGTTTTTAATTAATAAATTTTATTTTTTCAGATTCCAAGTACAACCACCACGACTGTCAGTACCACGCCAAAAGGTAGTACCTAAGTACCTAATCTAATACTAAACTGTAGTATCTGATCTAATACTAAACTATAGTACCTAAGTACTTGATCTAAACTAAACTACTGTACCTAAGTACCTAATCTAATACTAAACTATACATGAAGCACCTTAGTACAATGTACTGCATTTAAACCTAATCTATCTTCTATCTACTTTTAGATGAATACTTAACTATAGTACCTAAGTACTGCACTTACCCAATCTATCCTCTGTAGATCAGTACTAAACTATATTATCTTAGTACAATGTACTGTATTTACCTGATCTATTTAATACTATCTTCTTTAGATTATCTTTAACTTAGTTCCTAAGTACTTCCTTTACCTAACATCTTTATTATCTGCTATACATAATTCCTATCCAGGTCCTAGCTTTCACCAAAGTAAGGATATTTTTGCTCTTTCTGTGATCCAAAGGAGACTATATATTTTGTGCAATATAAGTTTTGGTGATACAGATTTTTATAACTGAGAAGCTTTATATAATAAAGTGCCTCCATTCTATATTTACATGTATATCCTGCATTTCATATCCTGCATGCAGAAATATTCTGTACATTTCCTACTTGCATTAGGAACTAGCATTTATTAGAAATTTCGTTGAAATGAAATATATTGTTTTAAAGTAGCAGGTCAGCGAAGTAAACGAGGAGATTTAAATGTGACAAGTGAGACTTTTTGTAATCATTGCTGGTGTGTCTGTGAATTGTGTACTGGTTCACTCAAGCAATCTGTTGGTTATCATTTAATTTATTTTTTTTTTATAAATTTGTCAGAAAATTCATGGGAAAAAAAGATTGACTGAACGTTACATTTAATTAATTTAACTCTTGGAGAGGAGTGGCAATGAATATTTCATAGGGTTTTAGGCAAAATGACATTTCTTCTAGCTTTCTGTTCCAGGGACAAAGGTTTTTGCATGATAAATTTCATTCCCCATTTTTATTATTTTTTTTATCTTGGTGGATTTCATCATATTTCATCAGTGATGCACAAGGAGAGATGTCTATATGGCATGCTTGAGGGTAACTGATAGACAATGCATGCATGTGTTGGTAAAATCAGAAGCATTTAAAGGGAATTACAGATACATACTTTGATCTTTTTAGAAAATTTTAACAAGCTTAACAGCTGTTTTTACTTCAAAAAACTTATTCTGTATCCTAGAGTTAGATACCCTATATTCATCAATAAATCTCAGCTTTTGATCTTTAAAGTATAATGAAAATGATGCACTTCATGTTATTGATAATACCTTTGATAGTTTAAGATGAGACAGCAGCTGCTATTTGATAAAAGTATGTTTATCTTTAGTGTTAAATGAATTACTGTGAAAATCCCATGCACTGATGTTCAAAATAGCAAATAAAGTTGTCATTCATATTTATAATGCACAAAGGAGAGAGAAAATAAACCTACTTAAGACCTTGGTCACAGTTTATGTAATTTGAATCCATTTTAACCTGTTTTTCATTCTTTTTTTTCTTCAGTTTCCAAGTTAACTGTATCAGCTGGAAACAATGTAGAGTTACAGTTGCCAAGTGATGAGACAGTACTGACCTGTTTTGTACTGGAGAAAGAAAACAAAGGTATACTTAAAAGTTCAAATAACAAGCAGTGCCTGGGAAGGTCAAACTGGGAAGGCCCCACTTTTCATTAAATGATGGGACCATTTTGAAATTTTAGGGGCTGAGAGAGAACACATTTGGGCACAAACCTAATAGTCATGTCTCACTTTGTGTAATGTAAGGACTCTTTTTATTCTATTTTCTGTGGACAGGTGAAAAATTCCAATATGAGTGGTCTTTGGTAAACTCTCCTGAAGGTGCTGAGAAAGGAACAATGGTTGGAAAAAACACTGACAAACTAAAAATCTCTAAGGTAAAAACATGTTATATGGTTGGGAAAAACACTGACAAATTAACTTTCTCTGAGGTATGTCACCAGCAGATAAAATCAACAAGAAAGAAGTATCTTGTTTATTGAAATTATTTAGTGCTAGAATATGGTACACATGTATTGTGTATAATATTATTTTAAAAAAAACCAAAGAATTCTTTGAATAGAAATGAGTTGTGAAAATATTTTAAAAATATACAAGAAATATCCCTATGCTTATACTTTCATATTTATGGAAAGGAAAATTCTTTAACTGTGAGGAAAATGATCAATTAGAGCTAAAAGAAAACACTGTCGAGATATAAAAAGATTTTTTTTTTCCCAAGTACAGTAAAACACATTTAAAGCGAAGTGGCAGGAACAAATAACGGTAATTTTAATTCAGTATAAATGTTGACATAATTTGTTATATCTGTTAAGTTCATTATATGTTTTAGGACTACAGGGAATAAAAGTCACTTGGCTGTAAGCTTGAATTCATTATAACCATGTTTGCTTTACATGTAACCATGTTTTTCATTTTTTTTTCCTTCATTTTTTTTCTTAACAGTTGATAGCAGGGCTTTACACCTTCAAGATAGAGGTCACAGGTGAAAACCGCGTAGGAGAGGCTTATGTCAATGTCACAGTTTCACCTCGTAAGTTTATTATACACCCGCGTATCTTTTAAACGGTACTTGATAATTATTTTTTACAAAAAGAAATAAATTTTACCAATGCTAGGTGAAAGTCTGTGATATTTTTTGTCATTGAACTGATAGGAAAAAAAAAAACCCTGGGTGAGAGGAGGAAACCAGCATTGAGCAAGTCATACACTGTAGTTGAATACCTGCCGTTTTCTTTTCTTACTCTATTTTGCCATATCAGGTCACTGTGTAAATAATATAACAAATTGCATTCAATGGGTGATTGAAAATAAGCAATAAAATAAATGCATTGCATTAAACATGAGTTTAAACTCAGAGCAGTTGTTATATAAAACTGACTTGCATTGATTTCAAATTACCGTAGGCAAAAACCTCAAGATTTTGACATAACTTTTATAATAGGATTAGGTAACAGTGACTAGCACCTGAATCGAGCAGCATATTTGTTAACATAGATACAAATTTAAAGCCATCATAATTGGAGACTGTTGTACAGTGTATCCAATTACATCACAACAGATTTGTCTGAAGTAGGGTAAATACATGTATATCCTTGTTTTTTTTTAGCTGCCAGGAAGAACACTCCTCCAGTTGCGGTTATAAAACCTACAAAGCAAATTGTTAAACTTCCCAATTCTGCCATTTTGGATGGCTCAGGTAAACCACCTTAGAACAAAGTCAATGATAGGTTGTCAGATCATTTAAAATTGAAGTTCAAACATGATCAATTTATCAGTTAATAAATTTGAAAAAGCATTTTGAAAATTCAATATTAAAGTAGAAATTCTAGTCTCTCTCTGGCTAACATTTTAATGACATTTTTCTTGCCTGTAATATTAAGAATGTTGTGTTTTTGTGAACAGACAGTTCTGATGATGATAAGATAGTGAAGTACTTGTGGGAGGAGATGAGTGGACCTCTACAGGACCACAAAATTCAGGACGACAAGAACATGTTGACCTTGAAGGGACTTGTACCAGGAAATTACATTTTTAAGTAGGTCCCAGATTGTACAGTAGAGGGTGTTGTGATATTTCACCTTTAGATCTCTTACGTGTTTACCTTTTGCAAAAGTAAACATAATTCAGTAAGAAATTTGAAAACATATATATATATTGTTTTTAGCTCACCTGAGCCGAAGGCTCAAGTGAGCTTTTCTGATCACATTTTGTCCGTCGTCCGTCTGTCCGTCCGTCTGTCTGTCTGTCCGTCTGTAAACTTTTCACGTTTTCGACTTCTTCTCAAGAACCACTGGGCCAAATTCAACCAAACTTGCCACAAAGTATCCTTGGGTGAAGGGGATTCAAGTTTGTTCAAATGAAGGGCCATGCCCTCTTTCAAGGGGAGATATTTAGGAATTAGTGAAAAAATAATGGCATCATTTAAAAATCTTCTTCTCAAGAACCACTGGGCCAGGAAAGATGAAACTTATGTGGAAACATCCTCAGGTAGTGTAGATTCAATTTTGTTCAAATCATGACTCCTGGGGGTAGGGTGGGGCCACAATGGGGGATCAAAGTTTTACATAGAAATATATAGAAAAATATCTTAAAAAGTCTTCTTCTTAAGAACAGCAAAGCCATGATTGGTCATATTTATATGGAAGCTTCCTCAGGTAGAGTAAATTCAAGTTTGTTCAAATCATGACCCCTGGGGATAGGATGGGGCCACAATGTGGGATCAAAGTTTTACATAGAAATATATAGGAAAATATCTTTAAAAATCTTCTTCTTAAGAACAGCAAAGCCATGATTGGTCATATTTATATGGTAGCATCCTCAGGTAGTGTAGATTCAAATTTGTTCAAATGAGGGACCCGGGGGGTAGTGTGGGGCCACAATGGGGGATCAAAGTTTTACATAGAAATATATAGGAAAATATCTTTAAAAATCTTCTTCTTAAGAACAGCAAAGCCATGATTGGTCATATTTATATGGAAGCATCCTCAGGTAGTGTAGATTCAAATTTCTTCAAATCATGACCCCCGGGGGTAGGGTGGGGCCACAATGGGGGATCAAAGTTTTACATAGAAATATACAGGAAAAAATCTTTTTCTCGAGAACAGAAAAGCCATGGTTAGTAAAATTGATATGGAGGCATCCTTGGGTAGTGTAGAATGAAATTTGTTCAAATGAGGGACCCGGGGGGTAGGGTGGGGCCACAATGGGGGATCAAATTTTTACAAATGAATATATGGGAAAAAATCTTCTACTCAAGAACAGCAATGCCATTTGTTATATTGATATGAAAGCATCATCAGGTAGTTTAAAATTCAACCCCCACCCCCACCCTCCATTCATTAACTTTTCAATACTAAACTGATTTTTGCATTTTTTTTCCTAGCCAATGTGCTCAGGTGAGCGATGTGGCCCATGGGCCTCTTGTTTGTTAAGGGTTAATTACTGCATGTTGCCTGTTTTATTGATATCTATTGAAAAGTCTGTTAAATGAGGCTGTTTTATTTTAGACTGACTGTCACTGATTCTGATGGTGCTACAAATTCAACTGTTGCCAATGTAACTGTGATAAAAGGTTAGAAGATATAAGTTTTTCCCGCTTTTTTCTAAATATTCTCTGAATGTGCTTGAAGTTCTAACATGTATGTGTATGTCAATTTGAAACACCACTTACAAGGAATAAGGATTGATGCAGAACAATTTTTTTTTCAGTATTAATTTGGACACTATTTCACAGGTTTTTATGCCCCGCCATGAATATGGCCAGGGCATATAGTGTTTGTCATGTCCGTCTTCCGTCCTTCTGTCCTTCCGTCCTTCCTTCCATCACACTTTGCGTTTAGCTCTGTTCAAAGCTCAGTTTCAAAGAAACTATCCAAGATATTTTTATCAAACTTCATATGCTGATAGATATTGATGAGAGCTATGCAACTGCATCAACATTTTTTGACCTTGACCTTTCCTTTGACCTTGAACTCACTTTTCTTAAATTAGCGTTTAGCTCAGTTTTAAAGATACCATTCAAAATAGTGTAATCAAACTTCATATGTTGATACATACTGATGTAAGCTATTCAACTGCATCAACATTTTTTGACCTTGACCTTTCCTTTGACCTTGACCTCACTTTTCTTAAATTAGCGTTTAGCTCAGTTTTAAAGATACCATTCAAAATAGTGTAATCAAACTTCATATGTTGATACATACTGATGTAAGCTATTCAACTGCATCAACATTTTTTGACCTTGACCTTTCCTTTGACCTTGACCTCACTTTTCTTAAATTAGCGTTTAGCTCAGTTTTAAAGATACCATTCAAAATAGTGTAATCAAACTTCATATGTTGATACATACTGATGTAAGCTATTCAACTGCATCAACATTTTTTGACCTTGTCCTTTCTTTTGACCTTGACCTCACTTTTCTTAAATTAGTGTTTAGCTCAGTTTTTATGACACCATTCAAGATAATTTTTACCAAACTTCATATGCTGATACATACTGATGAGAGCTATTCAACTGCATCAATATTTTTTACTTTGGCCTTTCTTTGACCTTGACCTCACTTTTCTTAAATAAGTTTTTAGCTCAGTTTTAAAGATACTATTCAAGATAGTGTTATCAAACTTCACATGCTGATATATACTGATGAGAGCTATTCAACTGCATCAACATTTTTTGACCTTAACCTTTCCTTTGACCTTGACCTCACTTTTCTTAAATTAGTGTCAAACTTCATATGCTGATACATACTGATGAGAGCTATTCAATTGCATCAATATTTTTTTACCTTGACCTTTCCTTTGACCGTGACCTCACTTTATTCACTTTGTGTTAAAATGTTGCTTTACTAATATACCCTTGGCGGGGCATTCATGTCCTATGGACATATTTCTAGTTTTTCCTTGATTTACTTACAATCATTATGATTTTTTTTTTAACAGAGACAGACTATCCTCCAAAAGCCAATGCTGGATCAGATATGGTGATTCACCTTCCCCAGGACTCGGTTATTTTGTATGGGAATTCCAGCACTGATGATAAGGGCATCAAAAGTTATGAATGGATCAAGTCTCCTGATGGCAAACAGACAGCCGACATGACGGTAGGTACACAACCACTCATTTGATCAGAGCAGTTACTAATGGATCAAGTCTCCTGATGGCAAACAGACTGCCGACATGACGGTAGGTATACAACCACTCATTTGATCAGAGCAGTTACTAATGGATCAAGTCTACTGATGGCAAACAGACAGCCGATGATGGTAGGTACACAACCACTCATTTGATTTGAGCAAACTGAGAGGACTTTTTGCTTCAAAGATTCCAAATTGCCATTTATTATATAAATCATGATTGTAAGTACTTTTCCTTGTGATTTGGTTACTCCGCTGATGCCTGGAAAGATGGAATATTGTTGAACAAAACTGACTTGTTTTCTCCAAAGAAGTATGATGCATAAAAAAGTTTGGTTTGTAGTATAAAAAATTAAAAGCATAGTTAAAGAAAGGGTATAAGGGTATATACATGTGTGAAGACCTGTTCATGATTTTACTTGGGCGTAATTGTGATATTGATGGAGTTAGTATACATTTTGTCCATTGATACAAGTTTATTTCATAGTTTCCAACTTCCAACATGTAAAAAGCAGGGTTATGACCCTCTTTGGAAAGTAAAAAAAAAATCTGGTCTTAATGCATAGTGACATTAGGACATATTCACCATGATTGTAAGTGTATTTCAAAGGTATTTACAAGAGAAATGTGTTTATTGTGTATTATTTCACTGAAAAAGAACATTGTACCTTTCATGTGTACAGTGGAACATTTTAATTTTTTCATGAACTTTTCTCATGAATACCAAGTCTGGAAATTGGAAGATTTTCAGGTTGTTAAGTGATAGTCATGTGAAAAGCATGACCAATAAGATATATTGAGGTTAAGGGGTGAAAAATCGGGTGTGATCTGACAATAGGGTGATTTGGCAACTATGTTATTTGTTAACATGCAAATGTAATAGCATATCCATGTATTATGATTTTTCTTTTAAGGGTACTACATCCCCATTTCTGCACCTCTCCAAACTACAGGAGGGGGACTATGCTTTTACCTTGAAAGTCACAGACACAGCTGACCAGGTGTCACAAGCCACTGTACACCTGTTTGTTAAACCAGGTATAACTGAGACCTTTGGCACTGTCACTTTACATTTTGGTCATCTTTTTTTAATGAGAGGGAGTGAAAATATATATATTATTGAAAAAAATTTAATGCAGTGTAAACATGTGTGAATTATGAAGTTAGATTTATATTAAAGTTTATATTTATTTCAAATCTTGTAAAAGATACATCCCAAATTAAACTAGTTTCAAAGAAGATTTTTTTTTCCAAATTGATCTAGATGTAAACACAGCACCAGTGGCTGTCACAGCTGGAAAGCTGACTATGATTCTACCTCTGAAGGGACTGGTGCTGGATGGCCAAAACTCAACGGACGATAAAAAGATTGTTAGTTACTCCTGGGTGCAGACAGGGTATGTAGGATTTTGTAGGAGACAGATACAATCCATGATAATGTATATAAAAGTTTTCAGTGAAAAACACTTAATATTGTGTCTGTTCTTGCATCATCTTGCAGTGTTCTTATAATCAGGCAATCTCTCCTCATGAGAAACATGGATTTCGTATTCTAATGCAACTGTTTTGTAAAATGCATTTTGATTGGCAAATGCTCTGATGTTTGAGGCAGTTAACTGAGCATTATCAAGAGTGAAAGCTGTTTATTGTGACATCATAATAGAATGACAGAAAAACGCAACATTTAATAACATATTTCATATAACAAAACTCCACAAAATAAGATGTAAAAATCAAAATGCATAAATTGCATTAGAATGGGAATACAATGTAGCTATCTTATTGTTAATTACGACTATTAATGCTGATTTAACAGTGCAAACATCCGTTTTACTGGCTCGGCACCAGTTAAACTTAAGTTTGCAACCATTATATCTACATATACCATCACAAATAACAAATGAGGAGATGATTATTCCCTAAATACATGTAACCCACACAGAGTAGCAAAAAACATCATAATATACTTTGTTTTCTGACAGGGCCAGTCCTACTCTTAAGATACTGGACAGTAACTCATCTCTATACTTCATTTTCTGACAGGGGCAGTCCTACTCTTAAGATACTGGACAGTAGCTCATCTCTAGCCACAGCAGTGGGAGACATTACCCCAGGGGAGTACACATTTAAACTGACCGTCACTGACCAGGAGAAGCTTCAGTCCACACAGAAGCTAACCATTGTGGTCAAGGAATGTAAGTTTCTAAGCCTGAAAAAGATATTTACAGTATATAATTAATATGTACAAAAATTTTTGCCACTGTTGTGTTAATCTTTGCATTGGTATGGAAAAAATTGAGTGTTTTATGAGGTGATTATATTATAAAAAATGGTGAGTGTGCCTCTATATGTACCATTACCATTTTATATATATAAAAAAAAAAAATAAATGAACTTCAGTAATCATGAGAATGATCCTTAAGTACTCAGGATGAATATAATTTGTTGATTCAGTACCAAACAAAAAACCAGTCAGCAGAGCAGGAGGGGATAGAATTGTTACACTCCCTGTGACATTGGTGGAAATTGATGGATCTAAGTCTTCAGATGACAAGAAAATTGTCCGATACACCTGGGAGAGGGATGCTAAGAGCCTGGCAGCTGGGGTAAGAATTGGGTTTGAACCTTGTATTCTTCTTGTTATTTTTCCCACCAATGGGAGGAGATGTTTTGGTTTTGGCATAGTTGTCCATCTGTTTGACACAAAATAGTGTCTGGATCTTCACTCACAAAACTATTATTGGAAACTTGTTTGCTTTGTTAGGCAAGTAAATTCACTCCGGCTAGAATTTGAAGAATAATTACGTGATATTTTATTTGTTTACCAGCAATTCTTATTTGTCACTGGAAGAAAAAAAGTTGCACAGTCATTCTCTTCCTGAGGAATGGAAGAGTCTTATTTATGCAACAAACATAAAATTTGCATTATATGTAAAGTGGCATTTATTAAATCAATTTTGAAGTGGGATTTAGTTCGTTTAAAGAACATGAAAGCAGGATACACATGTATATTTATACCCCTGCTCGGAAGGAGAGGGGGGTATAATGTTTTACCCTTGTTCATCTGTCTGTCTGTCTGTAACAAATTTTGGTCACAGTTTTCTCAGCAACTACTCATTGCAGATGCTTGAAATTTTAGCACAACCTTTGTTAAGGCATGCCATATGGTGAGAATCATTTTTGTATGAATCTGATGTTTATCTGTGCATCCATCCGTACCATACATAACAAATTTTGGTCACAGTGTTCTCAGCAACTACTCATCACAGATGCTTGAAATTGTAGCACAACCTTTGATTAGGCATGCTATGTAGTGAGAATCATTTTTGTATGAATCTGATGTCAACTTCCTGTTTATCCGTGCATCTGCCCGTACCATACATTACAAATTTGGGTGGCAGTTTTCTCAGCAACTACTCATCGCAGATGCTGAAATTTTAACCCACTCTTTGTTTAGGCATGCTATATGTTGGGATTCATTTCTGTACAAATCCGATGTCAATTTCCTGATTATCACTGTGTCTGTCCATAACTGAACTTGTGTATTCACATCAGAGCAGGGGTATTATTAGTGAGCACTGGCTCACAGACTTCTTGTTATTTTAGTACAGATGACCAGGTACAGATACATGTTTACCTTTAATTACAGGATGTGTTAAATGGCTCAGAGCACAAGGCTGTTTTACAATTGGTTAATTTAGTAGCCGGGAAATACATCTTCAAACTGACTGTGTTTGATGCAGAAGGTTTGTCAAGTTCTGACACAGCCCATCTGCTTGTTAAAGAGGGTAAGTATTAACAATGGAAAACCTCAAACTTAAATTGTTTCATGTTGTCATAATGAAGTGTTTGTTAATGATTTTCACTGTCAATTAGTTCATGAGCAGAATGGTACATGTAGTACACTGTATGTGTGAATGTGCACCTAGGAAAACAAATATCATTGAATAGTTATTTGCTATTAAAGTGAATAAATATGATACTCAAACATTATTAAGAAATTATTTGCTTAAGAATTATATTTAGTAACTATCTTAAATTTTCAGACCCTCATAAAGAGGACTTGATGGAGCTGACTCTGGACACAAATCTTAAGGATTTCACAGAGGAGGACAAGGAAAATCTGAGGAGTCAGTTGGCCTCCATGTTACCTGATTCAGCAGATGGTGATGTCACTGTACAGATACAAAATCTACATATGTCTCCTGAATTACTGTACGTAAACAAATGTGATGTTAAATGTACACTGTACTTAAACAAATGTGATTTTAAATGTACACTGTACGTAAGCAAATGTGATGTTAAGTGTAAAAAAAAATACACATCTCCTAAGTCACTGTACTTAAACAAATGTGATGTTAAATGAAAACAATCTACAGAATTCTAAGTCACTGTTAGTAAACAAAAGACCAGTTTATTTTTTAAATTGAATTTTAATCGTGTATGAGGTATGTTTGATTTTTTTTTTTTGAAGGTTACATGTCAGTTTCTATGTGACTAATGTAAGAAAAGAGACACATGTCTACAGACCTGGATTGGAGACTGCCAAACTTCTCAAAGAACAACTGGAGTCCTCCAACAATCATATACTCAACTACAAAGTCCTGTCCCTAGACACAATAGGTAAGCATCCTAGAGTCCTCTAACAGTTATATACTCAACTACAATGTCCTGTCTCTAGACACAATAGGTAAGCATCCTAGAGTCCTCTAACAGTCATATACTCAACTACAATGTCCTGTCTATAGACACACATTTTTTAAGCATCCTAGAGTCCTCTAACAATTATATACTCAACTACAAAGTCCTGTCCCTAGACACAGTAGGTAAGCATCCTAGAGTCCTCTAACAATTATATACTCAACTACAATGTCCTGTCTCTAGACACAGTAGGTAAGCATCCTAGAGTCCTCTAACAATTATATACTCAACTACAAAGTTCTGTCCCTAGACACAATAGGTAAGCATCCTAGAGTCCTCTAACAACTATATACTCACCTACAATGTCCTGTCTCTAGACACAATAGGTAAGCATCCTAGAGTCCTCTAACAATTATATACTCAACTACAAATTCCTGTCCCTAGACACAATAGGTAAGCATCCTAGAGTCCTCTAACAATTATGTACTCAACTACAATGTCCTGTCCCTAGACATAATAGGTAAACATCCTAGAGTCCTCTAACAATTATATACTCAACTACAAAGTCCTGTCCCTAGACACAATAGGTAAGCTTCCTAGAGTCCTGTAACAACTATATGCTCACCTACAATGTCCTGTCTCTAGACACAATAGGTAAGCATCCTAGAGTCCTCTAACAATTATATACTCAACTACAAAGTCCTGTCCCTAGACACAATAGGTAAGCATCTTAGAGTCCTCTAACAATTATATACTCATCTACAATGTCCTGTCCCTAGACACAATAAGTAAGCATCCTAGAGTCCTCTGACAATTATATACTCAACTACAAAGTCCTGTCCCTAGACACAATAGGTAAGCATCCTAGAGTCCTCTAACAATTATATACTCAACTACAAAGTCCTGTCTCTAGACACAATAGGTAAGCATCCTAGAGTCCTCTAATAATTATATACTCAACTACAAAGTCCTGTCCCTAGACACAATAGGTAAGCATCCTAGAGTCCTCTAACAATTATGTACTCAACTACAATGTCCTGTCCCTAGACACAATAGGTAAACATCCTAGAGTCCTCTAACAATTATATACTCAACTACAAAGTCCTGTCCCTAGACACAATAGGTAAGCATCCTAGAGTCCTCTAACAATTATATACTCAACTACAAAGTCCTGTCCCTAGACACAATAGGTAAGCATCCTAGAGTCCTCTAACAATTATATACTCAACTACAAAGTCCTGTCCCTAGACACAATAGGTAAGCATCCTAGAGTCCTCTAACAATTATGTACTCAACTACAATGTCCTGTCCCTAGACACAATAGGTAAGCATCCTAGAGTCCTCTGACAATTATATACTCAACTACAATGTCCTGTCTCTAGACACAATAGGTAAGCATCCTAGAGTCCTCTAACAATCATATACTCAGCTACAAAGTTCTGTCCCTAGACACAATAAGTAAGCATCCTAGAGTCCTCTAACAGTCATATACTCAGCTACAACGTCCTGTCCTTAGACACGACAGGTATACACTCTAGATATGATAGGCACCAACAGTGTTATCCATTCTTCTCTCATTTTTATGTTTACAAAATGTTCATAATTATATATAAGCTAGGTAGACATGTTGGTTAATTTCCTAGACACTGACAATATTCTCATATTATTTAACAAAAGCTTTATGTAAGGGTTAATGTACAAGTAGTGCTCCATTCCTTAAAAGTAATTGAGCCGAGGCCCCGAAGAGGCCGAGGCCCATTGCTTTTAAGGAATGCAGCACTTCTCGTACATTAACCCGCGTAAAATCCACCTTTTTAAATGCTTGTAATTATTGTTTTTTAACATATAATAAAGAATATTTATAAGATACACTGTAAATATACATTTAACATATTTGTGGCATTTATTTATATATAGAGAGAAAGTAAGGCGAAAAAAGTGTACTGAAGTTATTTTAAAAATTCGCTGTCATTCAATAGTGTAGTGAGATGAGTATCTGACTCCAAAGGTGAAGGTACCTGGTTTGATTCTCAACATAGTCACATTTATTTTCTTTATGTGAAAGTAAACTTGTTAAAATTTTCTAACTTCTTTCCTCAGTAAAGGTACGGGAAGGAGAATATGAACATAACAAATTCTGTTTTCAATCTAATTTGCTACTCTCCATTCCTGTAAAATAATGGAGCGCTCAAACAAAAGAGTGACGTCACAGGTGGATTTTACCCTAGATGATGCCAAATCTCAGTCTTTCTTTTAGTTAATACTATTACCATGTTCATTCTTAACTGATGATATTATATCTTTCAGTTTGCCAAATTAATTGTTCTGGGCATGGCTACTGTGATAAAAAGTCCAAAATGTGTGTGTGTGATGCCTTCTGGATGCAAAATTTCTTTATTTTCCATGTGTTGAATGGAGAGAGTAACTGTGGTAGGTGTACATAGAAATGTTAACCAGCTGTTTCAGACTTTCAGTATTATTATCCACACTGTGTCTAGTGAAAACAAGATGTGTGTGTGAAATACTGATGCCCCAGTATGGCAGTTCAAGGGCAAGGTTAAAGTTCTTAAGATGTAGATCAAACTCAAAGGTCAAGACTTCAAAAATCATAAACACAATGTAAGGCAAAAATAAACCTCCCCTTTTCAACTATATGCAGAAAAACCAATTTTCCATAAGATAGGCAAAAAAATTTCTCCTCTAGGCTTAACTTTATTAGCTCACCTGAGCTGAAAGCTCAAGTGAGCTTTTCTGATCACCCATTGTCCGTCGTCTGTCCGTCTGTAAACTTTTCACATTTTCGACTTCTTCTCAAGAACCACTGGGCCAATTTTAACCAAACTTGGTACAAAGCATCCTTGGGTGAAGGGGAGTTTAAATTGTTAAAATGAAGGGCCAAGTCCCCTTCAAAGGGGAGATAATCAAGAAAATACAAAAATTGGGTGGGGTCATTAAAAAATCTTCTTCTCAAGAACCACTGGGCCAGAAAAGCTGAAACTTATGTGGAAGCATCCTGGGGTAGTGTAGATTCTAAATTGTTCAAATCATGACCCCCGGGGGTAGGGCGGGGCCACAAAAGGGAATCCAAGTTTTACATTGAAATATGTAGTAAAAATCTTTAAAAATCTTCTTCTCAAGAACCACTGGGCCAGAAAGGCTGAAACTTATATGGAAGCATCCTGGGGTAGTGTAAATTCTAAATTGTTTAAATCATGACCCCCGGGGGTAGGGCAGGGCCACAATAGGGAATCAAGTTTTACGTTAAAATATATAGGGAAAATCTTTAAAAATCTTCTTCTCAAGAACCACTGGGCCAGAAAAGCTGAAACTTATGTGGAAGCATCCTGGGGTAGTGTAGATTCTAAATTGTATAAATCATGACCCCCGGGGGTAGGGCGGGGCCACAATAGGAAATCCAAGTTTTACATTGAAATATGTAGTAAAAATCTTTAAAAATCTTCTTCTCAGGCACCACTGGGCCAGAAAAGCTGAAACTTACATGGAAGCATCCTGGGGTAGTTTAGATTCTAAATTGTTCAAATCATGACCCCCGGGGGTAGGGCGGGGCCACAATAGGAAATCCAAGTTTTACATTGAAATATGTAGTAAAAATCTTTTAAAATCTTCTTTTCAGGCACCACTGGGCCAAAAAAGCTGAAACTTATGTGGAAGCATCCTGGGGTAGTGTAGATTCTAAATTGTTCAAATCATGACCCCCAGGGGTAGGGCAGGGCCACAATAGGGAATCCAATTTTATATTGAAATATATATGAAAAATCTTTAAAAATCTTCTTCTCAAGAACCACTGAGCCAGAAAAGCTGAAACCTACGTGGAAGCATCCTGGGGTGTGTAGATTCTAAATTGTTCAAATCATGACCCCCAGGGGTAGGGCAGGGCCACATTAGGGAATCCAATTTTGTATTGAAATATATAGGAAAAATCTTTAAAAATCTTCTTCTCAAGAACCACTGAGCCAGAAAAGCTGAAACCTACGTGGAAGCATCCTGGGGTAGTGTAGATTCTAAATTGTTCAAATCATGACCCCCAGGGGTAGGGCAGGGCCACATTAGGGAATCCAATTTTGTATTGAAATATATAGGAAAAATCTTTAAAAATCTTCTTCTCAGGCACCACTGGGCCAGAAAAGCTGAAACTTACATGGAAGCATCCTGGGGTAGTGTAGATTCTAAATTGTTTAAATCATGACCCCGGGGGTAGGGCGGGGCCACAATAGGGAATCCAAGTTTTACATTGAAATATATAGGAAAAAATTTTAAAAATCTTCTTCTCAGGCACCACTGGGCCAGAAAAGCTGAAACTTAAGTGGAAGCATCCTGGGGTAGTGTAGATTCTAAATTGTTCAAATCATGACCCCTGGGGGTAGGGCGGGGCCACAATAAGTACTACGGGGGAGGGGGGGGGGGAGAAATCAGGTGAAAAACAGCAAGGCCAAAGTTACTCAGGTGAGCGCTGTGGCCCATGGGCCTCTTGTTATCAATATGCTGCTAAGATTTACATGGTATCATAATTTTTGACAAGAGGCATAAAAAATGAAGAGGAAAAAAACCTGTCAGCTGCATTTTGAAAAAAAGATCTGAGGCCCTTGATTAAATTTTTTTTTTTGCTTATATGGTTCCAAGATTTAAGGCATAATTTTTCTGGTCTGTGTTTATGACTACAGAGCAAGAAGGACTGAAGATAACACATAGCCTTATGTATCTGTTATAATTCAATTTAGCACATGCATTTTGTGGCTGGGTCAGTTGATGTGTCATTCAAGACCCTATCAGAAAATAAAAATTCAGAGGGGGTGAAATATCACTATTCTTTTGAACAACACTAATTTGTAGATCTCCACCTTTAGCATAAATAAGAAATTTAAAACTGGGAGGGGGGACTCCAAATCAGATTGATTGATTTGTAGGGTTTTATTTATTTGACTTCATTTTGGTATTTCTCTGTATCTCAAATTTGAATGGATCTCCTTCCCCAAAACCATCAGCACCCCTAGAATTAAAATTAATATACCCACAAAAAGCTAATAGATAAGCTCCACTTACAGAAAAAGGGCATTTATTCCCTAGCTAATGATTCACTTAAGATATTAAATCTTAATTTTTATTGATGAATATCATTCACACTACTTTTTGTGCCTTGATTTCAGATTGGAGTGTTTTGTATTTCATCATTGTACTTTTCCTTGTGGTGGTGGCCCTGGCAGCTATAGTATGGGGTACAATCTGCTGGATTAAAAAGCGCAGGTATGTGTAAATCTAATCGTACATAACTGGCAGCTATAGTATGGGGTACAATCTGCTGGATTAAAAAGCGCAGGTATGTGTAAATCTAATCGTACATAACTGGCAGCTATAGTATGAGCCCAGGTATGTAAATCTAATCGTACATTACTGGCAGTTATAGCAGGGCTCTAATTGGCGAATAATTTAGTTGCCATGGTGCCTAAAATTTTTGATTGGCGCCTAAAATTTTTCGATGTCGCGAAATTGGCGACCATCTTTAGTTGACTTGGCGATCGTCAAATTCCGGAAATTTTCACATTTTTAACAATTTTTCTGAAAAAGTGAAAAGAAATGTATAAAAAGAGGAAATTATTTTTAGCAATGGACATGTCATGTTTTCTTGGGCACATCATGGGTCCCTATATTCTGTTAACTTTTAAAGTTGGCGCCTTAGAAAAATTGCCTGGGGACTTAAAATTTGCATTGGCGACTAAATTTTTCAGATAAGGCACCAGCTGGCACCTTAATTTTAGAGGCCACTTAGAGGCCTGTATAGTATCAGGGCTCAACATTAACTTTTTTCCCTACTTGTCCATTCGGACAAGTGACCAAGACATTTACTTGTCCGAACTTCAACTTCACTTGTCCGAAAAGTTTTCATTAGAGATCTAATACTGTCAACTTTAAAACTAAAATAAAGTCCATTACACATGGCATGTGCTTGATTGATTCATGATGTTATTGACAAATACAAAGAACACATAAAACGAAATTTTATCTACTAGACTTTCTGTCCTGACAACAACATAAATGTCCACATTCGTTAAGTTCGTAAGTTTCATGCCTTTTCAGTAGTATGCAATTAGTGAACTTCGATCCCGATCGAATGTGAACTCAATTAACGATCTCTATCGGGATCAAAATTCGGTGTTTATGTACAGCTTCCGTCTTGAAACTACCGATTAACTTTCAACAGTCGTTCTTTTTATTATTTAGAGACTCTTTTACATTAAAATGCACTTGTCCAATCGGACAAGTGCCCGGCAATATTCACTTGTCCGTAATTTTTTTTTCACTGGTACCGGACAAGCGGACAAGCGTTAATGTCGAGCACTGAGTATGGGGTGCAATCCCCTGGATTAAAAAGCGCAGGTATTTGTAATTGTATGTGATAAGTAAATAAAGGTACAATATTTGTACATTTGTTATAGGAAGTGGGCATTAAAATTAAATCTGTGATATTTTTACATCAGGTGTAAATGCTACAAGTGGAGGACAAGGAAGAGACATCGCTACTCACTTCTACAGGAAGTGGATGACGCTAAAGATGAAATCAAGCTGTTGCCAAAAGGTACGTCATTATTTTTCCACATAATATTTAATATTTTAATAAGCATATCTCTGTCACAAATTAGATAAGCATATTAACTTTGACATTCAAAATCTCCCTATTTTGTGAATGTGAAAAAAAAAATATATGAATGGGAAGGAACTAACACCCCCTCCCCCCCCCCCCCCCCCAATAAAAAAAGTGTATCTGGAAAAGAGTTCAAAGAATCAAATTACTTGTCTTTCAATTTCTTTTTTTTTTTCAAATTGAATATTCATGAAGGAAATACCCTAAAGAGCATAACTGTTGTAAGTATGAACTCTATTTGAAGGAAAATCACAGAACAGTAGCGTGATGATGTCCGAGTCTGATCTGACCAGTGAAGAAGAGACTTTATTTATAAACCATAAAAAGACTAATGGATTCATACAAAAGCCTGTGAATGGAGTATCAAAACATATAAAGACAAAGCTTCGGGCATAACTCAACTCGGCAATGGACAGTGAGAGCTGCAGTCCATTATCTGTTATACATATATGTATATCCAATATACAGAAAAGTAGGTTTAAATTAGAATATATTATATAGTATATTGACTGTAACATGGTGCAATATTCATCATGTATAATAAGGGATATGATATTATATCAACTCAATGTGGGAAAACATATATGCTGTTGCATCAATTCTTATGTGAAATGATTGAACCCATTCCAAGTGTTTTTAAGATTTCAGTGAGATGTTCTGAATGTATGAATCAGGTTCAATTACTAATTTTATCTCACTCATATTAACATGCTTACCTGTATAAGTGAGTTAATCTATACTAAAGTAATTTGGGTCTCAAAGCTTTTTAGTGCTTCTAAATAACATTCAGGAGTTCAGTGTAGAAATGGTTAGTGAAATAGACAAAAAGATTAAGCACAAGTCTGCGATCTCAGCTCTCGGTGCTTAACCACACTATGTATTAAGGCAATCAATATTCCTTGTAAATATATCCACCCATGTTCAGATTGTGAATAATTAATGCACTGGATATTGTATTGAATAACCAATGAACATTGGAATATTACATATATTGCTTCAGTATTTAGATAGAAATTTTGGTTGATTTTTGCTTGAGTTGTTTGAATCCCTCACCCTGTAAATATGATGATGTGCACCACATTCAGTGTACAGCAGATGGTGTCATGTAATATGTAGTTTATTTTTAATTTTCTTGCGCAATGTTAAGCCACCATTGATTATGATGTAAAATTGAAACCATTTAAGTAAGCATTACATGTATGTTAGTTTGATAAATGGAAAAATTCAGCTCCAAATGCATTCAACACTTTCATTTTTAAATATTTTTTTTTGCTTTCAAAGTGACAAGATTTAATATGTATAAATTTAGGCCATTCTAGATACAAGGTCATAAAAAATTTTAATTTTCTTTTCTGTTTAACAAAGCAATGTTGGAAGTCGATATATGAGCATTTATGTTATAACATTTGTAATTTAATTTTATTTTATTTGCCAACAAATCTCTTGTTTAGGTAAAATCAAGTTAAATTATTCAGCAGATTGCATCGTAAATTGTCACCTGAGAAAGCTTATAATTGACACTTTTCCTTACAATATATATATTATTTATCAAGTTATAATAATGCTTTGTGCAATGAATTACAAGTACACAAATACTCTTTTCAACACATATGAAGATGATGTTGAATAAATGTTTTATTCAGGAAGTATCTAATTTACACTAGTCATATAGACTTGCTTATACAAATTTAGGAAGTGGTCATGATTCAAAAAAGTCTAGACTTAACTGTATGCACAAAATCTGCATTGATGCAATAAAACCATTATTCAGCATGTTAGCAAACCTGACCAAATTTTTAAAAAAAAATAAAAATGATTGCAGCACTGACTTTTGTTACATGCAATAGATCAAGAGTTGAAGTGTATTCAACAAAAAATGCTAGGGATCTTTCAGTAGATTTATGCATAATGCATATAATTTGTGCAATTTATATTTGCTTTTGAGATTACCCACAATGTACAATGTTATATATCTTTGATATTAAACCTGGTGTATATGACTTTTTTTCATGTCTGTTCAAATTCATGAAATCAAAAGATTTTTTTTAGAAGAAAAACAAATATCAGCTGTATGTAAAAGCATTAATGTGTTGAATGAATCCTATTTTATTTTTTCTTTTATTTAAAAATCTGTCCTGACTTTCTACAACTGAGCTTTGATATTTTCATTGCCTGTAGTTGGTGTAAGGTTTTGATATTTTTTTTTAAAGAGTGTTATTCCTTACAACTGCATTCCATGTTATACATCACATAGTGTTGTATAAATATTTAAGAAATCCAGATTTCAGTGTGACAACAGATTTTTACTGTATATACAATAGTGTTATTGTTGATGAATTTTGTATATAGTTGAGGGGATTGTCTGTAAGGTGTTTTGAGGATAAAGGGTAACTGATTTACAAATTTTATTGATGTGGGGAACTTTTGAAAATGTATAGTTTTTTTCTCTAAACTTAAATCCAGTGTGTTTTTATTTTGCCTTAATAAGGTATTCAACATGACATATTGTTGTAAATTATTGCAGAAAACTACCAGCACGTATATTTTTTAAGAAGATTAACATTCATTACATATGGAGGTGGAAACATTTATCAGAATTTTTGCTGTTTTTTATATTTTAAATGAACTATGTAATTACAGGCATATTTAATAGTTTATTTATGACTTTGTGTATAGGAGTTCAGTGTTTATTTTGTAATTAAAGTTGGGACATATCCATAAATGAAACATAGGCATCCTGCTCATCATAGAGAAATAGTGTACATATTTTGCTTAAAAAGGAGATCTCATATTTATGTCTTTCTTCTTCCTCTCTCTCTCTCTCTCTCTCTGTTTTGTTTTGCCATGACATGCACAATGCTTTCTTAAATAAATTAGGTATTCGAAGGACATTCCATTCGCCTTAAAATGATTTATTAAGTTGTAAAATAAATTATTGAGCACAAGTAGATAAAATTTATCAATAGAGTAATGTTTTATACACTGTGAACCAACTTTTATTCGTGTGCGAGAAATATTCACGAATATAAATAGCCGCGAACCATTTATTTAGCTTTGTATTTGTAGAGAATGTTTCCTCAGTCACAAAAATTAATCTTCGTATATAGATTTTAAACCGACGAATCGCAAATAAAAGATGACGCGAATAATAGTTGGTTTACAGTATATATGTATATTATGGTTCTTTCATATGTTAAACTTTTTCATTTCGAGGCTTAATTATGGTATAAATATGCTCAGATTTTTACTTTTATTTTTTATCTTTTTAAATGATTAGGTTGTGATTTTCACATTTTACAATCATGTACAGTACCAGTAACAGACATATTTTCTTAGCTCTTTAGCTCTACTGGTCAGAGACCAGAAGAGCTTATGCGATAGTAAGGTGTCCGTCGTCCGTCCGTCTGTCTGTCTGTCTGTCTGTCTGTCTGTCTGTCTGTCCGTCTGTCTGTAAACAATTTTTCAAAACGCTACTCCTCCTACAGTTTTGGTCCGATTTCAATATAACTTGGCACACAAGTAGACTACACTAAGATACATAATTTAGTGCATCGGTTTTTGATTTCGATGGACGGTGTTGCCATGGTTACTAAAAATAGAAATTTCTGTGAAATTCCTTTAAAATGCTACTCCTCCTACAGTTTTGGTCCGATTTCAATATAACTTGGCACACAAGTAGACTACACTAAGATACATAATTTAGTGCATCGGTTTTTGATTTCGATGGACGGTGTTGCCATGGTTACTAAAAATAGAAATTTCTGTGAAATTCCTTTAAAACGCTACTCCTCCTACAGTTTTGGTCCGATTTCAATATAACTTGGCACACAAGTACACTACACTAAGATACATAATTTAGAGCATCGGTTTTTGATTTCGATGGACGGTGTTGCCATGGTTACTAAAAATAGAAATTTCTGTGAAATTCCTTTAAAATGCTACTCCTCCTACAGTTTTGGTCCGATTTCAGTATAACTTGGCACACAAATAGACTACACTAAGATACATAATTAAGTGCATCGGTTTTTTATTTCGATGGACTGTGTTGCCATGGTTACTAAAAATAGAAATTTCTGTGAAATTCCTTTAAAACGCTACTCCTCCTACAGTTTTGGTCCGATTTCAATATAACTTGGCACACAAGTAGACTACACTAAGATACATAATTTAGTGCATCGGTTTTTGATTTCGATGGACGGTGTTGCCATGGTTACTAAAAATAGAAATTTCTGTGAAATTCCTTTAAAACGCTACTCCTCCTACAGTTTTGGTCCGATTTCAATATAACTTGGCACACAAGTACACTACACTAAGATGCATAATTTATTGCATCGGTTTTTGAATTCAATGGACGGTGTTGCCATGGTTACTAAAAATAGAAATTTCTGTGAAATTCCTTTAAAACACTACTCCTGCTACAGTTTTAGTCTGCTTCTAATATAATTAGGCATACAAGAAGACTATACTAAGATACATAATTTATTGCATTGGTTTTTGAATTCGATGAACAGTGTTGCCATGGTTATTTAAAATAGAAATTTCTGTGAAATTCCTTTAAAACGTTACTCCTTCTACAGTTTTGGTCCGATTTCAATCTAATTTGGCACACAGTTAGAATACACTACGATACATAATATGTATTTCTGTTTTTTTTATTTGGGTGAATGGTGTTGACATGGTTACCGGTACTAAAAATAGAAATTTCCGTGAAATACTTTCAAAACGCTACTCCTCCTAGTTTTCATTTGATTTCAATATAACTTGTCACAAAAGTAGACTACATTAAGATACATAATTCTATTTATTGTTGCATGTTGCAATGTTTCAAATCCAAGTGCTACTTTTCTTTTGTTATACAAACAGACCAGTAGAGCTACAGTCTCATCAGAGACTTCTGGTTTTTATCAGGTCACCAAAAGGAAGATGTTTATTTATTATGAGAATCTATCAGAGAAGAAATACAATATAGATACAGAATTTATTGAATTTAGTGTGTGTATGTATGTATTGATTATGTGCCTTTAAATAAAGAGCTTTCTTTTGAGTATTATAGCTTCTTTTTGGAAAAAAAAGGGGGGGGGGTCTTTGACTTAGAATTTATATTTATAGAGCAAGGTGTATAATATATATTGTATACGAATCTTGAAAAAAAAATCACAAGTTAAAATTCTGCCATTTTTTTTATGTAGGTTTTTTATGTGATGTTTCAAAATAACTGTATAGTTTGAATTTCCTTTTATGAAAAGCTGGGTTTGTTACTTAAATATTAAGTAAGTTTTGTGTGTGAGCCAATGAAATGATAAGAGAAGTAAATAAACTCTTTACACTTTGAGCCATTGTCCACGTGTTTTCTGTGAAATAAATTAGGTATTTGTGTGCGGTGTGGCACGTTTTCTCCTTATACAGGATGTAGAAGTCTCTCCCAGTTATATAGATTTAGGTACAAACACTACCTCATCATGACTTCATATACATGGTTTATCTAGTAGTGCTACTTCATGTAACTTACAGTATGTAGGTGTCTTCAATTATCAATCATATCTTTAACCATACATGTCTATGTACACGGCCTCTCTATTAACTGTTGACATGACATCTTACGTAACACAGGAAGTGATGAGCACTTACACCCTGTACTGTTAATGTCTTGTTTATGTTTCAAGTAGATCATCTGCCAAACTACAGGTTCACATGATTCAGGAATTTCAATTCTTTAAAAAATTGGCATTAGAAACCTGGAATTTTTGGTTTATAACTTTAACAAATCCATTTTCGTATAAAAATGAAATAATTTCAAAATGTGCTGGTTTAAAAGATTGTGTTTCAAGGTGGATTTAGATTTTAAAGGCCAACAAGCCTGGTTTATACAGAATTTTCAATTTTTTAGCTCACTCTAGGCAGAGTTAAATGACCTTTAAAGATGGAAAATGTCCTTTGTCATGTTAATTGTTGTAAACTTTTCAAAATTTCATTTTCTTCTCCAGAACCATGGCCAATTACAGCCAAACTTGCCGCAAAGTCATGCAGCATAGCTGAAAATTTTCAAATAATTGTGCATTTTGTGATAAAAGTGTGAGAGTAAGTATATTGGTGAAGTTATATACTACAAATTAATATTGTTAGATATCGGGCCACTTCATTGGACAATCGGAGACAATTTTGGCAGCCATTTTTCAAATGGCCATCATACGCCACAATTACAAGCATACTTCCATAAAACTGTAGTAGCGACTGGATAAAAAAGTTTATAAATTTATCCGTATGTGTGTAGAGAACCTTTTAGCTCACTTGAGCATAAAGCTCAAGTGAGCTAATTTGTCCGTTAAATGTCTTTGTCATTGTCGTCTTTAACTTTTCAATTTTTTATGTTCTCCCAAATTTCTGGTCCAATTTAACTTGCAATCAAGCATTGTTTTACTCCAGTGACACCTCCTCTGTTTAAAGGGGGATAACTGAGCAATAAAAAAAAACATCCAGTTATAACAACTGTTCCTAATACAAGAACGATTTATCTGCGAACATGTATTTTTTATTCTTTTGAGTTAAGAAAATCTCTACCTTTGATCCATGCATAATTCCATGGATAACATTTTATCGGAGCTAAATTCCATAGATTTTTTTTTTTTAGATTGATAGACTGTGATATGCACAGTGTTCGAAGTTTAATATCCCAAAAACACAAAAAGTGTGGAAAGTATGAGCTGAAAGACTTCCTTGCCGAAGGAGAATTCTGTTGAAGAGAGATATAATTCCTGTACATGTTCACCCATCCTTATAATATCTAGAAAATTTCAACTTCATCTCTGAAATCTAAAATTTTGCAGCAGTACTACATCAAAATGCCCTTATACTGATTAGAGAGTCAAGAGCTATTCTCTGTAACGATACGAATTTTGATGAAATGTGTTTCAAACAGAAGTTGGTTGCTATGTGTCTTGGTTGCCAAGGTAGCAGATTAACAGACTTGAAAAAATTAAGATTTTCAGCTACGTTTGAATCCTAAAGTGAGTCTTAACGAAGACAAAGATAAAGGAAACTACTACCACAAAAGCATTACACTTTATGCCACTTAAACCATTATACTTGTATAATTATTGTGTTGAAAATAATTTAATTCATAAATATCAATCTGGATTTCAACCCGGTGATTCCACAACTAATCAATTGCTAGAAATATATCATACCATAATATCTAGTCTTGATAAAGGTAAAGATATTAGATTTGTCTTCTGTGACATCTCAAAAGCATTTGATAGAGTGTGGCATAAAGGTATCCTTTATAAACTAAAATACTATGGTATTTCTGAACAGATAGTTAATTGGATTGAGAACTACTTGTCTGACAAAAACCAACAAGTAGTTCTTGATGGCTTTTCATCAACCACTAGAGCTACCAATTCAGGTGTCCCTCAAGGGTCAGTCCTAGGTCCCTTTTTATTCTTATTGTATATTAATGACATATCTGAAAATTTATCAAGTCCTGTAAGGCTTTTTGCAGATGACACATCTTTTTATGTCATAGTTGATGATGATATTATTAATTCTGCAAACGACTTAACAAAGGATCTTGAAAAAATAAAACAATGGTCTTATACATGGGCAGTAGAATTCAATCCTAGTAAAACAGTTAATTTAGATTTTAGCAGGAAAAACATTTGGCATCCGAAAATTAGATTTGGTGAAGATTGGCCTACTATTCAAAATGTTGAAACACATACTCGTTTAGGAATAAGAATTCAGCAGGATGGTAATTGGAGATCCCACATACTTGATATTCATCCTAAAGCCTGTAATCGATTAAATATTTTAAGAATGTTAAAGCACATCCTTAAGATGGATGCTTTGATCAAAATATATTTTGTTTTTATTCGTCCTACACTTTCATCATTCAAGACTGCCATAAAAAGTATACACTGCTTAAAACTCAAGAAATATTACAACTATGGAAGTCGTAAAATGAATATATTTCATTGTCAATTGCGAAATAATGCTAGTAATTTTTAATGCTGATTTATTTAATCATTTTTAAAGGAAGATCAAAGTTGTGACATGTGCGGGTATAGTTCAGAAACATCATTTCACTTTTTTATGAAATGTCGAAAATATTGTGTGCAAAGGCAGAACCTTATACAAAACTTGAATACTTTGGAATTACCAATGCCTTTATCCTTAGAAGTTATTTTGAATGGAGACAATAACCTTACTTACAACCAAAATATTGCAGTATTTAAACTTGTTCATGAATTTATTACATCCACAAAGAGAGTTGCATGACATTGTTTCTCTTCTTGTTTTTTTTTTTTAAATTTGTCAACCACAGAACCAACATCTATATGTACTTTCACATTTATACCTGTAATATTCTTATTAGTCATATATGTTAAACTACAAACATATATTGTATCATCAGCTCACTTAAACTTAATATTTTGTCTTTTTTTTTCACAAATTTCTTTTGAATATACACATGTATATATTTAATTTTTTCAATGATATGTAACTTGTATTTACTTGTACATGTATGCCTTTGACCTTTTATTATGGAGAGGACTTACATAGGCAGTGCCTGCTGTCCAATCCTTTTATGATTATACATAATAAAATATTGTTTAAATTATAAATTAAACCATAAAGAAATTAGTTGTAAGAAATCTCTAAAAAGTAGGTATTTAAGCAGGCAATTTTTATTCTAAAAAAAAGAGTTCTAATGATAGGTGTTACAAGGTCAAACTCATCGTAAAACTGTAGAGAAAATACCAAAAACAATTGATCATACATAAGTGAGTTATGGCTATACAATTCTTAAAATAGATATCATGATTGCCAAGTTAACACAGCTTTGTTAAACACAATTTTGAATAAGATTTGATTAATACTACAATCATGAGAAAAGACATGGAGAATCAATACTAAGAAATATATATCCTTAAGGCCTTTGCAACACAGATAACGTCAAAAAATTTCGGAAGTTATTGCTACATTGTGAAGACACAATGCAGGCGAATAGCAGTGGTTAAAGGTAAAGATTTCCCGCTGCCTTATGAATATAGTTTCTTTTCATCAACATGGCAACCAATAAATAACATCACATTACTCCCATATGGACTTGGACCCCTTTCTATTATTTGCATGGTTACATTTCAACTTTTATTAATTGCTTTTATTTTATATAAAATTTATGTTATTGTGTTTGGGCATGTTGTGTCGTCTTTAAAAGTGAAGGGGAGGGGCAGCCAGAAAAGTAAATTTGACAACTTACCTGAAAAAAACTTTTACAAGGAAAAATATATATATTGTCCAAACTCAAAAGTCCTATTTCCAAGGGGGGGGGGGGGCATACATTACCATATAAGAATTAGATTCATTGTAGAGAATGGCTCTTTAAACATTTCGTATACGTTTCTGCTTAGAAATTTTTCCATTTTCGGAAAAAGTTGAAACAGTTTGGTGCCGTAAATTTTAAGACTCATAGTTCAAAAGTATCTCACCATCTGTAAGTAATGTTTTCTGAACATCAGTTTAGGTGTTTTGTTAATTATATCTCAATATAAAGTGCGCATTTATAAGGTATATTAAAATGAAAAGGATCTTTAGTAGCGCCAAACAACAAATATTGAAATAAATATTTTGTGTCAATGAAAACACCACCATGTATGCAATATTAAAGAAATAATTTATTCAAAACACTGCTTCAGTACAACATTCACTAAGGCAATCATACATCGGGGACCTTCATAGCGGACAATGCATATACCTTTATAAAGTATGATACGAATAAGCGTTAGCTTGAACTCATTTCACTTGGTTCCCTATCTATTACAATACATGTACATTAACACAGAAATCGCCAACCTAGTGATAGAATACATCACTGATCCATGTACACCACTGGTCACTGACCATTGCCCATGGCTAACATATAACTGGTCCAGTATATCGCTGTACTCTGCAGTAACCATCAAGATGGGGACGAGAAGGTGTAGTATCGTCTTTCTTTGTCTGGTCGCCATCTTAATTTCGCAGGTCCAGGGACAACTTCTGGGATTCGATCCCTCTCTTGGTTATCCTTATGAAGGCGGTTCTGATCCCTATACACAGAACATAGGCATCTACAATCAACAGTTCCTGAAGAACCAGCAGATCACTCAAATGACGAGACAAGTTAAAGAGACCCAGTTAATAGCCATTGTGGGTCTGCGTAAGTACTTACTTTTTCTTTCAATTGAGTCTGTTAATGTTTTCTTGGATTCTTAACGTATATCCTAGACTGGCCATCCATTCGTAAAATGCATAGAACTCACTCGAGTTACATATTGCTCAGCGTGAACCTTCATTTTGACTTTACACCAAATTGAGCACACAGTGCGCCTAGACTTTTGAGTTGATAGATTGCTTTGTTATTGCGGAAAGGTTCACCTTTAGTTATTGCTATTGCCATTTTTTGCTTATCTAAGCCGAAGGTTTGACCAAAATTTGTCCGTTAACTGTCGTCGTTGTTATTGTTGTCAAAAACTTTTTAAAATTTCATCTTTTCCAGAACCACTAAGATAGTTTTAACTAAACTTGGCACAGAGTATCCTTGAGTGAAGGGCATTCAGGTTTGTTCAAATGAAGAGTCACATCCTCACATCCTCTTCCAATGGGAGATCATCCTGACCCACAGGTAGTTTGGGGCCACAACAGGGGATCAAAGTTATGCATGGGAATATATAGAAAAAATCTTTAAAATTCTACTACTCAAGAACAGCAAAGCAATACATTGTAAGTAGTCATATTAACACAGAAGCATCCTCAGATAGTCTAGATACAAATTTGTTCAAATCATTGCCCATGGGGTTTTATGGGGTCACAATAGGGAATCAAAGTTATCCATAGGAATATATAAGTTTTTTTTTTAAATCTCCTTCTCAGGAACAGCAAAGCCATAGTTAGTCATCATCAGGGAGTGTAGATTGAAATTTGTTTAAATTATTGCCCATGGGGTTTGTATGTGGCCACAATAGGGGGATCAAAGTTAATTATCCAAAGGAAAATATAGGAAAAATCATCATAATTTTCTCAAGAACAGCAAAACCATGGTTAGTCATCCTGAGGTAGTGTAGATTCAAGTTTTGGTCAAATCATGTCCCCTAGAGGTAGGATGGGGCCACAATAGAAGATCAAACTTATATAGAAATATATAAGAAAAAAATCTTCCAAAGCCTTAATTAGTCAAAGAAATATGAAAATATCCTCAGTTCGTGTAGAATCAAGTTTGTTCAAATCATGCCCACCCACCCACCCCACCCGGAGAGAATTGGTTAGGTTGAGACCCAATCTAATTAAAATTAGATGTTCCGAATCTGCTACCACTTCTCAAACATCTAACAACATCCCATTAGGGGTCACGTCAGAGCGACCTTTCGATTATGAATAAACATAAAAATTTTGGCCAATCAGGTTCAACCTTCTGTATACGATTCTAAAATTAGTTCCACGGCTACATCTTTACATTATTGATGCTCTGTAGACTGTCTTACATTGAATTAAAGTAATTTTGGTATAAATTGAACGTATACTTCGCCAATCTGGCATTCTTACCTGAATAATGCAAACGAAAATGCACAAACTACTATATATCCCGCACGTCACATATAGCACGGTCTTTACCATGCATATTTTGCTTACTACGAAACCTCTCGGGCGTTTAGGTATGGCAGTAAAAAAAGAAACGCATCCGAACCATAAACCAAGATTTCGGAGACGGCGATTTCATTGGGTAATCGAAAGGTCGCTCTGACTTGACCCCGAATTGTTTGAGAAGTGGTAGCGGATTTGGAACATCTAATTTTAATTAGATTGGGTTGAGACCATTTGTATATTTTCAATACTGATTTCTCTTTTTCCCTAGCCAAAGTGCTCAGGTGAGCGATGTGGCCAATAGGCTTCTTGTATATTTTGATTATTTTCTTATTTTTCATTTTGAAAGAGATATTAAAATGCTTATAGCCCTGCATATTAAAGCTGATATTATTCCGATGTTCATAACATTTTGAAACACGTTGCACTAAGGGCATTATACTGAATAACTTTAGGATACAATATCACATCTATGGCACCTGATCCACCTCTGATGTTTTGGAGGTCCGTGTTTGCTCTGCTCCAAAATTTGTATTGTTTAATGGACTTTTGAAGTTGAATACTGCTCGTTTTCTCCACACATTTCATCTATGATAACTGTTTACTGGGTAGTAAAATCAAAAGGGACCCTTAATGTCAAATACACGAAAACTATTGACTATAGGAGAAGACACGTAAATCTTTTATAGAGCTTTTTTTCCCTTACAGTGGGTATGGGCTTGTTGCTGGCATTATCCGTAAACAGCGGATCACAGGGATGATTTTCTGGAGCACAAGGTAAATTTAGCATACAAAATGTGTATTTTTCTCAAATGCCGTTTTGTTCACATAATTCAAGTCGTATACAGTCTCGTTATTAATTTAATGTCATGATTTTTTTTTTCATTTTTCATTGTTTTTATTTATATCTTTTTCAGAGAGTTTCCACAGCTACCGAATTTACCGTCAGATAATGTCATACCCCGCAGCAAGATCTTTAATTAGTAATTTATTCAATTTGATTTTTGACAATTTATTTATTGCTTCATTATTCACATTTGCCAGATTAAATTCATCAATGTGTAAAAGTTAGTGTTCACATGTCTCATATTAAAGATGTACATCAACTACGGTGCGTGAATGTAGCGACTGATTCTCTTGGTAGTGTATACTGGTAATGTTGGCCATCAATATCAATATAAAATGTCTGATCTCTGTCGTTACGGGGATTTAACACCACTATAGCCACACTGCCATCATTGTTCTGAAAGGCAACAGAGTGTACGTCATCCCATCCATACTCAGGAGTATCTAATCGAACAGCTTCAGGAAACACGAACTTTGACATATGACCTATGATGTAATACTCCGTGTTCTTTGACATGCCGCCATTGCTATGGATAGTTATTACTCCATTGCAATTGTTGCAGCCACCAACTCCGACCTTTGGACCGTGGTTATCGTCCAGGGCAAGATTCCAGTACATAACAGTTTTTGCCCAGTTGCGAGTTTGCCCGATGGAAAGAATACGCATGCCCCAAACAACATTGAATCCCGGCGCCCAATCACCCCCTGAACATTCTGTAAAGTAGATATCCTTATCAGGATGTTGATTGTGAAAGCCACCACAAGTGTCATGGCGTCCACCATAGCAGTGCCAGGCGCTACCTCTAATGTACTGAGCCGCTCCACCGTCCGCTAAAATGTTTCCAGCATAACTGGTGTCATCCCAGTTATGATCGTATATGATAATTTTTGTGTTGATACTATGCTGATTAAAAGCAGGCCCGAGATAATTCTTGATTATATCTCTTTCCGTTTGCCAGCTGAGTTTCATGGTTGGATAAGAGTTGTCAGTGTGCTTTGGTTCATTCTGTAGGCAAATTGCGTCAATTGGAATTCCTTCTGTCTGGTACGCCTGTATGAATTTCACGAAATACTGAGCATAAGCCTGCTGGTAGTTGTTACCATTATGAAATTCGCCACCAAAGAGAGAGTTCGTGGTTTTCATCCACGCAGGCGCAGTCCACGGCGTTGCGATGATTCTAAGGCTTGGGTTAATTTGAATGGCTTGTTTGAGGATTGGGATAATGAAATCCTTGTCTTTTTGAATGCTGAAGTGGTCCATGTGGAAATCGTTGTGCTGCCAGGATGGCAGATCATTATAAGTGTATGGCTGTACTCCCTGAAAGTCCGTGCCTCCCATGGGTAACCTCAAATAGCTCATGGCTAAAAATGAAATCACAAAGCTCTCAAAATATCATCAGATTATACTGTATCAGAAGTCCAAGTCAAGTTGAAATAATAGCACTAGTATTTTGTGGCTTAACCAACCTTTCCTAATATCTTACTGTGATCCGGTTTTTCATCGTGTCTAAAGCAATAGTAGGGACTATGACGCTGTTATAATGGGTTACGCTTTTTGATACAGAAAAAAAAAGTGAAAAGATTTCTATTCAGAGTAAATTTAAATGGTTGTGAAAAGCTATCTATTAATGCATAGAGGCGATCTATAATTTATGAAACTTACAAATACAATGGAGAAGTCGACAATACGGCTCAAGCCAAATCAAGAAGGGAGTGCAACAAACATCAGGGAAGTAATTGTATCATCTAGTGTTATACATAATAGTCCAATGTTGTAATCTGTCAAAAGTTCTTTCTTAAAAAGTTCATTTTTCTTATCCATCATTTTCAGTATCCTATAAACTCTCTCTCTTTTTTTTATCTTCGCAAAATCTCACCATAACTCCCCAACATTTTTCATTTTATGACATGCATAAAAACTTCTGTCTAGATATGGTATGGTCTACTAAAAATTTATAGGAAAAATATTCTCCACAGCATTTGATCAAGATTGATATTCATTAAAAACAAAAGCTCAAGTTTTAAAGAGCAACACCGCCTCTCCCGTTTTATCTTAACTTATCTTCAGTGGAGACGGGTATTTAAAACCTAGGATCCGTCGTGCGCATTTATATAAAAAAAAATTAATGGGAGAAGGTAAAAAGACACCAATAACAAAATGTTTTTACCAGCTTTTAGTGAGTTATCGTTTGCAAATTGATTTTTTTTTTTAAATTCTCGTTAAGAATTTCATCAGCTAAGGGAGGATTATGAATATGACATCCTTACAAATTCCAGACTTTCCAAACAGATCCTGCATTATTTGATCTCGCTGGGAACTGTGGTACAGATTGTAGGCGGCGGCATTCGTCAGTGCCGCTCCAAATCCGGATATATACTGATAACGCTTGTTACGATCCACAAAAATACGAAATCCATTCGAACTTCCGGTGGGGGACAGCGAGGCTTTTTGCGATAGCCTGTCTCCTCCGTTGCTATTGGTTACCCATACGTCCATATTACCGTTCACCAGAAGAGAGATGGTAAGAAGAAAAACGCATATTGTCACTAAACCTAAAATAGAATTGTTAATATAGTTAATTTTGTTTAACAAATAATAGCCATACCACGATTTTCTTCATAGATACAGACCGTGTTGTGAAGTTCTAAACAAATCCATTGTGTTCTAAACCGGACAGTGTACAGACTGATTTTATATTCAATTAGATAAGAAACATGTAGGTCACAAGTTGAATATTTGGAATTACATCCGAAAAAAGGTAAATCTGTCCTCGTCATTCTACAAGTAAGGTCCACATTACAAGCGAGAAGGAGCACAATTCTGTTCTCCTACTTTCTCTTCGTTCTGCTTTGGCTTCAAATTTCTTCAATAGATTTCAAAATTATCAAATCATACATTTGTTTATTTTATTATTTTTCAAGTTTAATTATTTGGAAATTCATATACAATTGTATGTCATTTTACATTCGGGGATTTTAAACAATTAAGATGCTTTACGAAATATAGTTTATACCGGAAAACATTATGTAATTCAAATAGATATGATATGATTTGGAAGATTAAGGGGTTTAAAATAGAATGCTTCCTGCACTCCGATTTATTATATTTATCAAACAAGTACTTGTACAAACTGTATACACATTTTTTTTTTAGCATTGGCGACTTTATTTTATTTTATTTGTTAAAAAAATATATCACGTTTCACTTAAAGTGATAGGAAATCCGCATTTCAAGACACCAAACAACACATCAATGCAGGTCAAATTCTAGTTCTATTGATTCTCTCTATCATACTTATCAATTGTGTAGATGGTATTGGTGTCATATGAGGCCAAGATAGAACTAACGTTTTCTGTGATTTTGACTCCTTTTATTAAAGTACATCATTTTGTATGATACAGTGAGTCATTTATGTTTATACAGTTTACAGATAATAGCGTATCAAATATCAAATTTCAAAATTTATTCTAATAAAAATTTAAAAAAAAAATCCCAGCAAATAATTAGTTACAAAAGAAGCATGTCTTTCATATTGCAGTTATGAAAATAGGATGCGCTATGTATTTCTTTTTAAAAATGTGACTGCTTTTACATGTATCATTGTTTTCTCTAAAAATTAGGCCTAGTGGATATACTATATATATATATATATATATATATATATATATATATATATATATATATATATATATATATATATATATATATATATATATATATATATATATATATATATATAAAGCACATTAACAACTCTTAAACTAACATAACTGCCCTAAGTGAAGAAATATTAATATAGAAAGCACAAATTCACTTTTATAAGGATACTCACTTCCGCCCCAGCCCGGGGTTGAACTCTCGACCTACGGAATCTCTCCTAGCAGTACAGGATTAGCGCGCTAGACCGCTCGGCTATCTAGGCAAGTCAAAAAACTTGCTTTCGATGCCGATGGAATTCTCGCGGCGCTGCCCTACACTACACGGTCATTGAAAATTTTAAACCCCCAAAACTTGGGAGGACACTTGCACATCAATATTACCGGGTATATTGTTTGAAAGACTCCAAGAGGAAGACATCAAATTTAAACAAAAAATCCCTCTATTTGGTTTCCATAATTTACCCTTGCTTGTTACATTCTGCCCTAGCACTGAACCCCCCTGGCCCAGGGGCTATGAAATTCAAAATTTTGGAATTTTTTGTCTTACCTACACAACGATACAAAGTTTGGTAATTTACCTGATTTTGGACACACTTCAGACAAAAAAAAAGGTTATACACACAAATAAAAGGGTATATATATCAAACACTTTATAAAAAGTTATCTGTTTGGGAGAAGCGTGTACAATGAAAAGCCGACAATACAATCCTTAATAAGAGGGGATCGCCACAAAACAACGAACAGATTCATCAGAGATGTAACATCTAGTGTTATACATAAGATAGTCCATTGTTTTATATAACCTTTCAACATTTCTTCCTTAAAATGTTCATTTTGATTGATTGATTGTATGTTGTTTAACATCCCGTTCGAGAATCTTTTCACTCATATAGAGACGTCACCAGATATCGGTGAAGGGCTCTAAATTTAGACCTTTACTCGGCACTAAGGGACATTGAGCAGTGAGGGACATTTATCATCCCAACGCCTGTCGTGACACGGGGCCTCGGTTTTTAAGGTCTCATCCGAAGGACCCGCAACTTTCACTTCAAAGTGTCGAGCGCTTGGCGAAGGAACAGTTGCTACCTGTTTTTTTAACTCTACTGGTCAGAGACCAGAAGAGCTTATGCGATAGTACGTGTCCGTCGTCCGTCTGTCTGTTTGTAAAAAAATTTCAAAATGCTACTCCTGCTACAGTTTTGGTCTGATTTCAATATAACTTGGCACACACGTAGACTACACTAAGAAACATAATTTAGTGCATCGGTTTTTGATTTCGATGAACGGTGTTGCCATGGTTACTAAAAATAGAAATTTCTGTGAAATTCCTTTAAAACGCTACTCCTCCTACAGTTTTGGTTTGATTTCAATATAACTTGGCACACGAGCAGACTTCACTAAAGTACATAATTTAGTCAATCAGTTTTTTATTTCAATAAACGGTGTTGCCATGGTTACTAAAAATAGAAATTTCTGTGAAATTCCTTTAAAACGCTACTCCTCCTACAGTTTTGGTCTGATTTTAACATAACTTGGCACATAAGTGGACATCACTTTGATACAAAATTTAGTGCATCGTTTTTTGATTTCAATGAACGGTGTTGCCATGGTTACTAAAAATAGAAATTTTTGTGAAATTCCTTAAAAAAACTTCTCCTCCTACAGTTTTGGTCTGATTTTAATATAACTTGGCATACAAGTAGACTACATACACTAAGATACATAATTTAGTGCATCAGTTTTTGATTCCGATGAACGGTGTTGCCATAGTTGCTAAAAATAGATATTTCTGCGAAATTCCTTTAATACGCTACTCCTGCTACAGTTTTAGTCTGCTTTTAATATAATTTGACAAACAAGAAGACTATATTAACTTAAAGATACATAATTTAATGCATCAGGTTTTGATTTCGATGAACACTGTCGCCCTGGTTACTAAAATTAGAAATTTCTGTGAAATTCCTTTAAAACGCTACTCCTCCTACAGTTTTGGTCTGATTTTAACATAACTTGGCACATAAGTGGACATCACTTTGATACAAAATTTAGTGCATCGTTTTTTGATTTCAATGAACGGTGTTGCCATGGTTACTAAAAATAGAAATTTTTGTGAAATTCCTTAAAAACACTTCTCCTCCTACAGTTTTGGTCTGATTTTAATATAACTTGGCATACAAGTAGACTACATACACTAAGATACATAATTTAGTGCATCAGTTTTTGATTCCGATGAACGGTGTTGCCATAGTTGCTAAAAATAGATATTTCTGCGAAATTCCTTTAATACGCTACTCCTGCTACAGTTTTAGTCTGCTTTTAATATAATTTGACAAACAAGAAGACTATATTAACTTAAAGATACATAATTTAATGCATCAGGTTTTGATTTCGATGAACACTGTCGCCCTGGTTACTAAAATTAGAAATTTCTGTGAAATCCCTATAAAACGTTATTCCTCCTACAGTTTTGGTCTGATTTCAATCTAATTTGGCACACAATTAGAATACACTACGATACTTAATATGTATTTCGGTTTTTGATTTCAGTGAATGGTGTTGTCATGGTTACTAAAAATAGATATTTTTGTGAAATACTTTTTAAACGCTACTTCTCCTACAGTTTTCTTTTAATTTCAATATAACTTGGCACAGAAGTAGACTACATTAAAAAAAACATAATTCTATTTATTAATGCATGTTGCAAAGTTTCAAATTCAAGTGCTACTTTGTTATACATGCAGACCAGTAGAGCTACAGTCTCATCAGAGACTTCTGGGTTTTTTTTTTTATCGACTTAGGTCAGTCGCGACCGGGGCTCGAACCCATGACCTTCCGATCACGCAGCGAGCCCTCTACCGATTAAGCTACAGTGACGGTATGTCCTTCATTTACAGTATCCAACGCGTGGTGCAGTGGTTAGAGCGTCTGCTCTAGAGTCGCGGCGTAAGGAGTTGATCTTTACGTCGCAGGTTCGAATCCCAGTGTGGGACGTGGGGACCGGTCCTTCGGATGAGACCGTATAGACCGAGGACCCGTGTCGCAGTAGGTGCTGGCACGAATAAGATCCCTCACTGCTCAATGGCCGTAAATGCCGAGTATAGGACAACATTTGCAGCTCTCCACCGGCAAGTGGTGGCGTCTCCATATGAGTGAAAAATTCTCAAGAGGGACGTTAAACAACATACAAGATGTACAGTATCCAACGAAATTTCTCATTTTTTTGCAAAATCTCACTGGACTTCGCAGTAACTTTTCTTTTCTTTAAAGACATTTAACATGCATAAAAAAATACAAATTATCCTATTCGACATTTATAGTCTGAAGAAAAAATATTTATGAGTTTGATATAATGATTTGTCGAATTCGTTTAAGTGACATTTAATCGTTATAACAAATTTAAGAATTCGTTTTAACGAATTTAATCTTTCATGACAAATTTTCTGAATTCGTTAAAACGAATTTAATCTATTATAATAAATTTGTTGCATTCGTTGTAACGAATTTGTTATAACAGATTAAATTCATTATATATATATATATATATATATATATATATATATATATATATATATATATATATATATATATATATATATATATATATATATATATATAACACCATTTTCTTCATGTATACACAAGTAATTAAGACCGTTTTGTGAAGTTCTTAACGAATCCATTGTCTTGTAAAATCGGAAAGCGATTTTGAATTCAATTAGATAAATATATATTATTATAACAGTAACTTGATTCGAGGAGCCGTATCACGTCTCGTTGACAGGCGCGGATCATCAGATCAAACGAGACGCGAAGCGTCGAGTTTGATCTGATGATCCGCGCCTGTCAACGAGACGTGATACGGCTCCTCGGATCAAGTTACTGTTATAATGATAAATTTATTATATACCCCTTTACAACTAGCAAAGTATAATAAAAGGAAAACTTTTTGGATCAATTACATAACTTTTATCCATTAAACAAACCATTTTGTCAAGGAACTTTTTGATGCGCGAGAATAAAAACGTCATTTATCTGTGTACTACGTCATCAGTTTCAGAGAGGGGTGATATGGATTCAGAAAACCACAGTGTGGTGATCTGGAAAGTCGGATCACACTCTGTAAAATTAACAGTAACAAAAACAAGGAAATTGATGGGTATATAATAAATTAATGCATCTACAATTTTACAGATTATAGTTAATAGCACTTCAAAATTAAAAGGCAATGTTTCAAACTTTATTTTAATAAAAGTAAAAATATCTGGCAAATAAATAATGAGTTACAAAATTAATTCAATATTACTGATATGGATGCGCTTAACATTTTATAGGTATATTTTTTAAAAGTGACCCTTGTGTCTTTTAGAGGTCCGTGTTTACTCTGTTCCCGATTTGTACTGCTTCAATGGACTTTTGAGCTTAATTACTGTTCCTTAATTTGTAAATATCTACACAGGATATTTTTCCCATCATTTATTTGGGCACATACTTAAATTCTTAAATTGATAATGTGACCTAGCTTATCTGTTCATTTATAATGAGAATGCGTACAATACTATTAATGAAATGCTTGGGAGATGATTAAAACGTTAATTTGTAAGCTGTATGACCATAAACATTAATAGAAGGGAACTACAGTTTTCTTAGTAAAAGACAAGAAAGTGGAGGATGTTGTTATTAATCCACCTATAATGGTTCACAGGAGTCTAGGTGATAGCTTGGGCAATCTTGATGAAATTTATCAATCACCAGTTGAATATCAAAATTCATTTCACTTTGCTCAGAAACTGCCAGGTCAATTTTTTTCTTTTAATTTAAAGGGAATATTCCTTACATGAAAATGAAACTAGCATCCGTTTGACAATGGAAACAAAGAAGAGGAATTTTACGTTAAAATTTTTCATCCTATAAAAGTTTTTCAAACTTTATAAGTGTATATCCAAGTTTCTGGGATTTAAAATTTCCAAGCTGGATGCCTTTGCCTGGAAAAAAAAAGATAAATTCAGATTTAAAAAAAAAAAAAAAAAATTGAAAGAATTTTAAAATAGAAGTTGCTTTTTCTGCCTTTTTTCTAAAATTTTGCACTGTTAGGGGTAGACAGAGAAAGGTCAGGTCGGGTGATAATACTTTTACTTGCTACAGCAAATTTTTCTAATTATTTTTTTTTTATCTTTGCAAAAATAAATTATGACTATCTATTCAATCACTATCAAATTCGAGCATATTTGTACAATTAACTAGAAACAAATTAATGTAGACATTTATATGCATGCGACTTCATGAAAATTATCTTAGTGTTCAGTAGAAGAATTGTCATGGGCATCTTCTATAACTCCACGACAACACATTTTTGCAAGCTCTTTCTTAAATGATGTGTCAAAAAATGCATAAATCACAGGATTGGCAATATATCCCATAGCGTGTAAACTTCTCAAAAACAGAAATAGCTGTAACTCCGTCTTAGAAACATAAAACCATCTCTTAGGGTCTTTGGAGTCAAAGTGTATAAATACATAGGTAGGAACATACGAGCAAATAGTTATGATGGTGATAATTATAAACATAATGGTCATTCTGTGGTTTCTGACTTGACTGCTTAACGAGGAAACCATTGAGAGACTTTGAAATCTCAGCCTTCCAGTTGATACCCTGCTATCAATCGTACAACTCTTGTTGGAGACTTTGTATAATGCATTGGAGTGATGTTCGGTCACTTTCATGGACATCATCGTTGATCCCTCGTCTGAAATGCTCTCTGAAATCTTTCCGAATTGATCTCGCACTCTTTGACTTTCTTTTCTCTTTCTTTCCATTTGTTTCATCTGCCTGTAAACAACTTTTCCGACCAATATATACAAAACGGACATAACAATGACTGTAGCACAAGAAAATGCAATCCAAAATTTCGACATCCAGATAACGAAATACATCGCTCCATCCATTGTCATGTCTGACCCGCAAACGTATCCACGAAGATTATACTCTCTCATTATTATAGGTTTTCTTTTGAAGTAAATTAATTTTGGGAGGTTGAAAATCAGTGTAACGAAAAATGCAAGACCAACTGCTATATTTTTATCTCTGAAAGTTAGATTCGGCCGGAAGGGTTTACAGATTTTGATGTATCTATGAACACATATTATCACCAGAAGTAGCAAGGACAAACAAAAGAACACGTTTGTACCGTACAAAAGTATTTTGCACAATGCATCATCAGGAAAAATAACTGGATTCGAGTTCTTCGCAAAAACAAGATTTGATGAGAACAAGCAGTGGAACAAATCTGCCACAGCTAACATGATGATGTAATAACGGTCTCCTCGCCTCTTCTTTTTCAATTTTGACTTGTAAATGTAAATAACAAATGCATTTCCAACAATGCCAAAGAGTAGAAAAATGGCGTTGAAGACGGTATTGATCAAATATCGGTCTCTGAAGAATAGATTGAACTCTTCCAAAGATCTGTTAGATACATGGGTGCCTAAAACCTCAGCCATAATCTTTTAAACACCATAAGTAGCTTGCTGCTGACAACGACTAAACAGGGCGACAGTAACTGGGTTTGTTATAACCGAAAGCGGAAGAGAGACAGGAAGGTGTAGAAGAGAGAAACTTTTATATCGAGAAATGATGACTTGCATCCTCTGCGTATACGTGATGTATAATGTCGGGCTGTAAAAAGTACACATGCATAATGCTTGTTTTGAATATTAAGTAACAAGGAGTGATTCTCTTCCAGATTTCTTAACGGAAAATCAGCATAGTGTTTTGGAATAGTGTCTGGCATTGTGTAATCTGTGGAATGATCGGAAAACCCTCTAGTGCATAGAAAAGGTTATTTAAAACGCGCACAATACGTTTCTTCTTCGTTTTTTTCAGCGGTTGCTGGTGTTGATATGTAGAAAATGGAGAACACGACAGACTCTATATTTGACAACATCTTGCCTGGAACTGGGGATCACCACGGGAAAATGAGCAGAAAATTTCTACACATGTTTCAGTATGATACGGTAACACAAGGAATATTCTTTGTCTTAGGAGTCCTTGGAAACACTATTGTCATTTTTATGTACAGTTTTAAGATAACCAGAGGCAGAGACGACAGATACTATATATTAGCGTTAGCATATGTGGACTTCTTACTTTGTATTTTCTGCTCAAGTTTGATATTCACTAAAAATTTACATCCTTTAAATTTTCCAAGCAATGCCTCATGTAAAATACTGTTGTTCCTTACGAGCACGTTCTTTACCTTGGGCCTATTAGTGTTGATTGTGATATGCGTACATAGATACCGACATATATGTTTGTCTATGTCTGACACAATGACAACAAAAACCAAACACACTGTCATTGGAATCTCAACCGGTGTCTCTGTGGTCTTCTCTTCACCGAAATTAATCTATTACAAAGTTATTCGTATTAGCTTCCCTGACAACATTACTGGCCACGTTTGCAGCTCTGACATGTCTATGCTAGGGTCATATGTATTTGTATCCGGTGTTACAGTTTTTTTGATCGTGTCGTCCGTCATAGGTATTATTACAATGATGGTTCTATATTATCGGGTGGCACGAATCATTTTCAAACAGCTTAGGCAGTTCAAAGGCATGCGAGTACAGAAAGTACGGTTTAGGAATTTGTATGGGAATCTAAGAGCTAGTATCATCAATGCCTTTGAAAGAGAAAATTCAAATATTTCTAGGAGACCGAGCAGTGAAACGCCTGTGATACATGTGGATATACCTGAAGAAAACCACCAGCAATTACCAGAGCCAGTAGACATACCTACGTGTGAGGGGATACCAAAATGTGACCAGGGGACCTTAAGAAAGAAGTATAGCAGAAATCGAAATAAAAATAAAACAAAATCGCTCGCAGTTTATCTCAGTGCCAATAGAAAGGCCAAACGCTCAACATTAATGTTTATTGCCATTACCATAGTAACAGTCTTTTCGTATATACCGACATGGACTTTTATATTCTTGGATACCAGAGATCCATCAAGGTGGTTCCACATGTCTTCCGAGAAATTTCACTTCTTCTTGTTTGTACGATCACTAGGTTCTTTAGGATATGTAACCCATCCATGGCTATATGCTTATTATGATAAATGTTTTCAAACAGAAATGAAGAAAATTTTATGTAGAAAAAGAGCGCACGCAGTATAAGCTGGATGTGATTTTATAAAATTCATTAATTGTAACTCAGGCAGTCATTGTCTTTCATATCCATACATATGTATAACCAATGTGACAAAAACATTTAGATCTCACGAGTATATTTCCAAAACCTTTTCCTACACAATTTTGGTAATAACAAATGACAATATTTGCAGTGCATCGCACAGCAGATTTCCTCACAATTCCCAAAGAACGACATTTATTTTCCTTTTTGCTAAAATCATGAAAAGGTGAAAAAATTATTTTTCATGATCCTTACTAAATTTGTATGTATCACATCTAAAAAAGTAAGACATGACAATTCAATGCTAAGAAAAAAAAATCTATTAAGATTCTGAAAAATAAAGAAGTACACAGGTTTTGTTCCTTTTTTTTAATTTACAACAATTTATCAGTAAACACTATCATAAAAATATATCACAATGAATCATTATACACACCATGCTGAATAAATAAGATGTCCACCACGTTTACGCGGAGAAAGCGGAAGTATTGCG